GACATATTTTACTCCAAGCTGTAACATCTTTCAGAAAAAAAGAATTAACCTCAAAATTAGGAAAAAAAAAGGATTATATAACATATATATTTTTCTGGATTTCAAATTGTCTACCTCTTCTTCCTACATGAACAGAAGCAACAGAACTCAAAACCGTTAAGCTTCCATCCAGCCAGTATTGAAAGCTCAAGTCTTCAGGATCTAGTTGACCACAGAAACAGCAGCTTTGCAATGTGTCTGGAAAGCTCTGTAACTGTAGCACCCTCTGCTGCTTTTTCAGTTCCAAAACATGTGATTGTACACTACTAAGTAGAAAATGAGTATGTATTGAGCATGTTTCTTGCAAATGGTTATACTGTCAACCAACATTAGGTGCAGTTTACAAGACAGTGTTTTATTACTACATATAGCATATTTGCAATTTATACTACATGAATACTGGAATACCTTGCTCCTATTTCTGTGTTAACATTCTGTAAAGCAGAGTTTTAAGAAAGCAGTGAAATAAAATGTGTTTTGGGAATACTACCAGATGAAAATACCAAAGCACACTTTATGTCATTGCTTAAAATTCTGCCTTACAGACACTGCATCTTGCTTAGACTTGTGGCAATTAGTAAATATCTATCTACCTATCGTATATTGGCCCTTGATCATTTAACTGAAATTAATGCATAATTTGAAGGGTTAGGACTAAACAACATACATAATTTGAAGGGAAATGATTATACAAACTCTTCAGTCACAACAGCTTTCTCCTGTTACTAAAACAGTCAGTGGAAGGAGATCATTTATGTAAGCTCATTCTTGAATTTCTCCTGGTTTTTGGGAAGTCTTTCACAGAAGAGATTTTCCCCTGAAAGGATGAATGTGGCACGTGGCTCCCAGAGCCAGCTGATGCTACCCACTCAGCCTTCTGCCTGAGATCCATCAGTTCTTTTAAAAGGATTGTCTTATGACTAGAGATGGCCACAGGATGTACTATCTTTCAACAGATGGCATGCTGTTGTCTAAAAGGAACACACCAATCCTTTCCTCTATCTCAGCATATTTTTTCCCCTGCTTCCTGTTTATGCACAGGATTAAAGCTGAATGGAATGCATTTAGCATGGCATCCTATCTGTGTGGAGAAGCTGTTTAGAGTTTTCACATGCAAACTGCTCTCTCACAGCAGATGAACATGACAGATACCAAAAAAAATTTTACTTTTCCAGAAAAAAAGAAAGTAAAATTGCAGTGTCAATTTTCACTCATGATAATGATCCTACAATGAAAATGCATCTTTAGTAATGCTTCTTTAAAACAACAACAAAAAACAAACAAAAACCGTGAATACCAAATCCAAACAAGACTTTGTGCAATTTCTGATGTCAACACTTGGGAGACCAGCAATCTGCCATTTACAGCTACTGCACTTGGCTCCATCTTTTCCCTGAAGTCTTACTGGTGTAGGGCTGCACTTTAGGAAGCAGTCACAAGTATTCCTCAAAAGCTGCTTTCTGAAATTTTATATAATGCTGCCAGCTAGTGGCACATCTTATACTGAGTTTGTGTGTACTGGGAGCGTGGAGAAAATGGTGTTAACTGGAATCTGTTCTACCACTCTTCTTTTGACAGCATATGGTGATGTGGCCATGAGCAGAAAGATCAAAGTGAAACAGAAAGACTACAGAAATGCTCCCCCCAAAAGTTTTTTTTTTTTTTTTAATGCAAAATACTTAAAAATATTATTAGAAACACCAATCAAAGAAAACAAGTGTTATTTGAAAGGATTCAAATGATGTAACATGCAAAATGTTTCAGTTTTTACAACACCTTATTTGTTTAACAGACAATTATTTCATGTTCAGTAGTCTGTAGCAAAATATTAACCTTCCTGATTCAGCATGGTAGTCAAAACACGCAGAACACTAAAATAATTAAATATTTTCTGATTATTTCAGCCCAAATCATTTAAGTTTAGTGCCCTGTAAATAAGTTATGACTATGCAGCGCGTCCTGAGAAGAACATTAAATTCTATAGTTATTTATAGATTTATTATTTATATCCTCATGGAGCACAATGCTGTTGATGGGACTGTTCAGTAACGGATAGCTCCACTAATACTGAATATTAGAAGAAATAATCTAATACTGTTAAATGCTAAAAAAATACTTGTGAAATCTTTTTTAAGGCAGACTATCACCTGATAAAGTTGTTATTGTTGTAAATAACATCATATCTCTTGTTAAAAAACAAAAAATCAAGTCCCAGCATTCAAAATATAAGAACTGTAGTTACTCTACAAAAAAAAAAAAAAAAAAAAAAAATAAAAAAAAAAGTGAAAGGAGACAGGATTATCATCTTCCATTTCCACAGTGGATTATCACTAGAAGAAGCAAGAAATACACAGAGGCCAAAGAAAAAGTCATTTCAGATCAATGAATATGTGCACTCACATCATCCTATCAGCAATGATCCAAATAGAGCAGCTCAGTAGCACACAGTTGGGGGAACTTGGTGATGCAATACATAGCAGTTCTGGCTTGAACAGTGTGCACCTTTATTCCATAAGGACAGTAGCAAGGAAATATGATTATTACTACTATGCTTTATTGCAGCCTTCCATTACCTGAGGAGAGCTTATAAACAGAGGAGGGAGACCAACTTCTTACATTGTCTTACAGAGATAGAAGAAGGGAAAATCTAAAGGAGTGGAGACTCAGGTTAGATATTAGGCAGAAATTATTTATTCAGAGTGTGACAAGGCTCTGAGGTTGCCTGGAGAAGGTGTGGATGCCCTATACCTGAAGGCATTTCAGGCCAGGTCAAATGGGACCCTGGGAAGCCTGATTTAGTGGGCAGCTACTCTGCCCACAGCAAGGGGTTGAAATCAGACAAGCTTTAAAGGACCCTTCCAAGCCAAGCCATTCTGTGATTACACTTCAAGCCACTACCATAAAGCTGTCAGAAAAATAACTAATTTACAGTTACCTTGATACAGTGTAATGTAGAGTGCTTAGTAAAATGGGCATAAATATGCACATCAATAGAGAGAGATAAAGACATTTAAAAACAAGGAAGCAAAGCTGAAAATTGCTTAGCAAACACTGTATAATGGCACAGCATGAACCTTCAAGGCAACACTGAAGCCAAAGGGACAAATGTGAATCTTCATATATATAGAGAAACAGTAAGAACCACAAAAGCCATATTACTTCTAAGTTAGCACTGGCGTTGTGCCTATTAGAGTGGTGAGTCTTGTTCTGCTATCTGTAATCAATAAGAAAGTGGCTGAAATACTGAAAAGGTTAATATAAGAGTCAACAGCACATTTAACAATAGAAAAGCATATAAAACTTTAGAAGAGTAATTTATTTGTGTGTTAGCAAGGAAATTTGTATAGATCAATCACAATCTAAGTGCTTACACAAAGAACAAAGATAAAGCACCTAACAATACTTAAAGGTACAGTGCCTTGTTCCTCTTTTTCCCCTTATTGAGTAAAACTTATGAACAAAAAAGTAAGTGGTTACAAAAGTTCCCTTAGTTCCCTATTTGAAGAATCTACAGCATCAAATCCCTTCTCTTATATAACCAAAGCATTTTCTGCCAGATCCTAAATATCTTAAATCTAAATATTTTCTTTATCTAATTCATGATGCCTACATCTCCACCTGACATCAGCAATAATTACAAATGTTTTTTTTTCCCCTCAGACTTACTCATTTGGATATTTATATAGTCCTTAGATATAATTTTCATTCTGAAATCATAAAAAATTTCCCTTCTTGACAAACTGAAACCCTAATGTATTTTGTGGCAGGCCCGTGCCAGTATTTTCAATATTAATAATCAAATGAAAAGTAGCAAATTTAAAAAGGGGAGCAGAGGGCTTATGATTTTTTTTCCATTTGAAAACAAAAGTTTATTTATTTATTTTTTTTTTGGCTAATGAAAAGCCCCTGTTTGTTGAAACAGCTCTGGAATACAAAGATGGGAGTTCTGAGATGAAATAAAATCTGCTCCAATATATGATTATCTTATAGCTTTGATAATGAAGAAAAGATACATGCACATTTGCTGAATATTTCACAGACTTACAGAGGCTCCCTAGCTCTGTTCTTTGAGTTTCCTTCTTTGAGAGCAACCCCTCCTGAGAAATTAGGCAAAAAAGCCTTATCAAAAAAGAAATATTTATATATCTGTAAATGTAAATTAAATAATGGTAATTATTACATTAAAAACATGTATAATTATTTTTATTTGGCTTCTTAGAGTCTGCTAAAATTTTATAATTGAGTCCATTAACAGCATGTAACATTTTATTAATGAGTATAGAGAAGCAGAGCCAGACTGGGTCAGATACTGAAGGTCCACTTAATGCTCATCTTGTTTAAGATTAATGCGGCCAGCAGCTCATGCTTAGACAAGAGTTCAAGACCAGGACAAAGATATCATCCTACTGCCCCATTAATTGTTCTACCATCTAGCAATTCCTGAATCATAACCGATACTTTCATATTTAATAGCTACAGTAAATTTTTCTTCCATAATTTTTCTCCTCTGCCTTTAGAGCCCACTGGATTTTCTACAAGCCAAAACATCCCATGGAGAGGAATTTCACAACTCGACAGTGCTTTCTTTTGTTTTTCTCTGGTATAAGCATCCCTTCTGCAGGACAGAAGTCTCATTACGTTTCCCCTGTTTTTACACTGTTGCTCAGATATCGAGAGATGGCCACCAGCCAAGACAAATCCATGGACTAAACTCATTTTTTGCCCAACCCAGTTCAATTTCTCTGACACAGAACACAAAGATGAACTTGCACTGGGACATTTCAAGGATGTACACCCAAACAACATAAACCACATAAACCAAACTACATAAACCACTGCAATATGAAGTGCTGGTAGTTAAATCAGCATATCTGATCACAGTAACGGGATTTCTCAGATAAACGAAACGCAATTTCAGTTCTAGCAACACAGTACTGTATCTAAATAAACAATGGACTTACAGACATTTCCTGTGTTGTCAAAGCTTGTAAGAACATCTTTAACATTTAGGAGTCCGTTGTGCAACCTAGAAGAAAACAAACAGCAAATTCACCAGCATACAAACAACAACAAAAAAACCCACTTCAAAAAAAGAGGTTCACTGCACATGGTGTCCATTTCTCACCCACTTCTTTTCACAGATACTACTTTACCAACTAGAGGCAAAACTGGGAGACAATCAGTGGTCTTCAAAGATTTACCACTGAAATTCATGAATCAGGAAACCGTTCCTCAGAAACTAATAGTATATCTTTTTTTTCTTTTTCTTTTCCAAAAGGAATAAGTTTCAGCCTAGCGGAAACCACATATAGGAAAGGAAGAATTTTAGTACAGCAATTTCTTTGAAGAGAAAGAGTATTTTTAAACAGCGGTAAACAAACTCCTATTTTTCTCCACAAAAAAACAAAACAAAAAAAAATAAAATAAAAATCAAGAACATTTGAATAACATCAACAATTAAACTGATTCTGTTCAGTGAACTGCATTCTCTTTGGTTTTATATTTGTATAATTCAAGTGAAATGAACATTCAAAACTGGGGATAATTAACAAGATTTCATATAAGCTTCAAATTTTAGAGAACAGTGAGGAAAACAGTGGCAACTTGCAGGAGGAAACCACATCAAATTTGAGCATGAATTTGCTTAAGAATCTTCCTGTGTTACAGATGTCAAGCTAACTAGACTCCCAAAACATGAACTATACGTGCATATATTTGTTAACTACTCCAAGCTAATTTAGGCCCGAAAGAAAAAAAGCTAGGAAATCTTTCACTCTAGAATAATTACATCACACAGGTCTTCCACAAATGCATACAAAAGTTCTAAAACTAATTTGGCAAGCTAGCAAAATGCAAAAATGCAATCTTTTAAAGTTTCTAATACAGCTTCCAGGGGTGTTCGTGATCATACTAATTTTGAACAATTAATAGAATAAAAAAGCTTCAGCATTTACAAAATTAGTGCTCATTCTCTCAGCTTATTTTTTTTCCTTGATAGAACACTGCTGTAAAGATAGGAGAAAAAATTTTTCACAGATATGAAACTGTGTATTTTTAGTTCCAAAAGATATTTGTAGCATAACACTTGTAATTAAACATTAATTTCTGAGAAGTACCAAATGCCAAATGGACTAATTCTTAAACAAAGAAAAAAAAGGGTAACAGAAACTGAAATAAGGTCACAGATGGGGACAAGAAAACGTATGAAAGACATTAAAAGCATCCTTCAACTGAACATCAAAACTTTCCTTCTAGCTACATTAACAAAAACAAATTCCTTGGTTGCATTTGAGGGTGGAAGCCTACAAGTATCTTGATGGAACTTCTGCACTAGAAATTCACTTTCTCTTCTTCCTTCTTTAACAAATTTGGTTTCAGTCAGACTGGGCAACTGATCCAACAGAGTTAATCCAAATGAAGTCACAGAAAAATGATCAGGATTGGTAGTTCTGCTGGCTCCTTAGCATCCTAACTGTATAACCATGTGTATTTGTGACAATCTCAGGGTCTCCCAGATGGTTGTGAATGTTTGTTCTCTGAACACCGGTAAGACTACAGGGAAAAGATGCAGAGATAACAAAAACAAAACAAGAAAACTTATCTTTGCTCAGTTTAATCCTCAAATAAGAAACTGATTTTTTTCTAATTCCTATGCATTCATAGTCCATAAATAAAAGAGATTTATCATTTAAAAAAAAAACAACCTCCAAGTTCAGCAAACAGAGGAAAGGATGGACAATTTAGCACTATAGTACCAATATTTTTAACAGAACACTATGAAGAAAGAAAAATAGATGTGGAACGTCCTGGGCTAAAAAGCAATACAATTTGTATCTCCAGGGTCAAAAGACAAAAAGCAAAATGGAAAACTGATACAATAATAGCACTGTCCTTAAGTTACCACCAAACCAAATTTCAGGCTGTTTCTAAAATAATGATTTTAAACTGGAGATGAAATTACATCTGCTTTACGAGTAAGGTGAGATTCCATGATGGATGTCTGCCCACTTCTGTTGTTCCCAAGGTTATCCTGAATTTTTGAAGATATTCTATTAAAATATATATATATTTTTTAATTAAGAAATGAGTTTCATCTACAGTTACCTTTTTTATATAGCTTTTGTTAAGGATCAGTTTTTCCTCTGATGACAGTTTTCTATGATTTAAATCAATACACACCCAAATTTCAAACATATTCTAGCATTTCATACTCAATAGCCAAAAGGTTGTGACATTCAAGTACAAACACAACACACCCTAAATTTTGCTGTCTTAGCCAGTGGTGGCATTTTGCATTGAATACAGAGTCTCTTTCTCTCATTTGCTTTCTGGGTACCTTTTTCTTGCTTTTACAAATACCATTCACGGCAAGCACATATGTGACCCATAATTAAATGATGAGAAAGACACAGCTTTGCAATAAAGGACATCCTCCTCCTTCTCCATTCCAGTTCACACTCATCCTGAAATTGGTCAGGGTTTAACATCTGCTTCCTTTAGTCTGATCAGCTCATGAAACCTTTACTGAACAAAAGCAAAGAGCAAACTCAACCACCTAGAATGAGAGGAGTAGCCATTATCTCAAGAGTCACCCAGATAGCAAAGCCACTCTTATTCTGGAAATGACATCTCAGATTTTACACATATTGCCATTGCAGACAAATGTAAAGCTACTCCAAGTCAGTAACAAGTCCATCACAAATGGAACTTGTGGACTAAAAGATCCATTTATCTGTAAACACAGATATTCCCTAAACCTGAAGCCTGCCATCAATATCATACTATACACTATTACACACAATTTCATTCCTAAAACACAGCATTTCTAACTTGAGATCCAGAGCTCTACACTGCTTTACCCCAGCAGTTCTGTAAGCGTTGCTCCTTCTCGGCCTCACTCCATCAGCTGATCTTCCATTACCTAGCTCAGGAAAAAAACCAAACATGATGCAATACACATCACACCCTGTTTCTATAAATGCTTTTTATATTAGCAGCTTTCAACAGTATTTTGAAGAAGCTGCCCATGAGGCATTTGTGAAAAATCACATACACTATATTCTGAAAGTCAAGAAATCACAGGAGTTGGTAGCTAAATCTCAATCCCAAATGAATTCTCACAAATCTTAGTCTCCCATGAATTCTCACAGGCATCCCAAGTATAGAAAACCATTAATATTGAGTATATGAGTACTGGAATACACTACAGATGTTGCCCAGTGCAAGCAAAAATAGTTCAAAGCTACAATTGCTGAGATCAACATAGAAAGTACTTCATATGAGCATTAGTAAGCAACATGCACAAAGGATTTCAGCTCAGCATGGTTAACCTGATCTATGGCATTCTTATTACAAGTCTTCAAGGTACAGCATGCAAAAATTTCTATGGCTGAGGCAATAAGTTACAGGAGGCAAAATTAAGAACAATAGATCAATTTAATTAATATTTCTCCTGATACAAAGCAAAAATCCTTACTCTCAACTGTGAATTATGAACTTTGGTTGTATAAAGTCATATAGGGAAAGGGACATAAGTATTAAAATATAATAATTCTTCCTTTTCAGTTCAGGAAGGGTTGTAGGCAATAAACTGAAGATAATAATTCAGTAGCTCCCCTATTAAGGCATGCTTTCTATCAATCATTATGAAACTAAACTAAGTTCCATTTCTTGCTTTATATTACTCTTCAACAGAATGAGGAAAGCAATACCATACTTAAAGAAAATGATGAAAATTAAGTTAAGCTATATGTATATAGTGCTTTGGAGTAGGTAGGAGAAGCAACACATCACCATGTGTTATTAACCGAGATACAAAAGAAAGCTAAGTGAGGAAAATGCAAGACAGAATAAGAGTAAGACAGCTGCTGCTAAGGGGACCTTAAAACAAAGACTGCACGGTGTCACCATCAGTTGTCACATCAGTCTAATGAGAACCTCAGAATTATCTATAAGCTTTGTTATCTGATCACAGAATCACAAGGTTGGAAAGGAACTACAATATCATCCAGTCCAACTGTCCTCCCATCATCATTACTACCACAGCTAGAGAACCATATCTCATAGCACCTCATCCAGATAGATTAGATGCTTTTTCTGGGACAGAGTATAGGAAAACAAGACAAACTTCCCTTTCACTTCAGTTTAAGATCTCAGCTTAATACAGTAAGAAATCAAAACAACAGCTTTTTTTAGTCTACAAATTCTTTTTATAGGCTCTCTTGGACAATATGATGCAACCATTTTAGTTCAGTGCTGCCAAATAACTTCTTAGCTTTTTCCTCAATTCCTTCCTCCTGAGCCTAATATTTATGCTTCCAAATTCATACGCTGTCTCTTAGCATGCAATAATTTGAATAAGCAAAATTGTTACATCTTCACAAACTAGCCACAATACATAGGCAATATTCCTTCACGTCTGCTTTCTTTCAATTCATGTCTAGACCTAAAAAAATAATAATAAAAAAAATCCCCTAACCATTAGAATTTCAAAATGCTATTAGCAGAAATACCCTACAGGAATATCCAGTGGAATTCAATCCAAAACCATATTCTAACATTTCACCTGCCACGAACAAATAACAAGTCTCTCATTTCTAAACCAAAAGTCTAGGATAATCTCATAAATTCTTCCATATTTTTGCTATACTCAGAATAAAGGCACGACACTTTGCAAAGAACACTTTACACTCTCTACAAAGATTTAAACATACCTGTAAGCTGCTGGCATTCTTCTTTTCAGTTCAGCATTTCAGTATTTGAAACACCAGATTACTGATCAGTGGAAGATACTTTGCCACAAAAATAACTTGCTTTTCCCTCTAACTGCTTAAAACGAGCCTACAATTTTAAACTAAATCTAGATCCTGAAAACGTAATGACATTGATGACTCATTTTTTTAGCTTCAATTAAAAAAAGAAACAAAATAATTCTCATGTTTAAAAGACAGGCAGCATTGCCACAGGGAGATACTACATCGTTATCATCTCTGATGACTTCCAGAGGCCTCCACAGCTCTGTGATTCTGTGCAATTCCATGCATGTAGCCACCCAATGCATAACATTAAGACAAGGATGTAGTGTGTAGATGCAACAAAGATATTACTGATCCAAACAAGTCTCACTTACTCAGGAGAGGTTCTGAATCACAGGACAGGACATTTTTTTTTAGTAGTGAAAAATAGCGTCAAAATGAAGAGTACTCCTCAGATACTTCTTTCATACCCCAAAACTATTGAGAAGTATTTTAGTACTAAGAATACCTAAACCTTAAAAAACTACTTTCCACCCGATGCCGTAAATCTACATTTCATTAAACAACAATCTCCAGTATGCTTAACAGGCCATTTTTTTTTTTTTTTTTTTTTTTTAAAGTGCAATTTGCCTTACATGAGGTTCTCCTGGCTTCCTGTTTTGAAAGATTTCGTATGAAAAAATGATTCTAAAATATATGACTGACAGAAAAGCATTGCATAGGCTTTTCCCCCCCCAAATGGAAACCCAGCCTGAATTTGGCTAGAAAAATGGCAGCTAATAAAAACAAGTTGCTTTGAGAAAATCAGAAAGTCACGTACACAACTGGTAGCTGCTATTGAAGCTTTTATTTGCCTAACCAACTGGTCCCCTGGTCCCTGCAGAACAGTAATTCCAGCTAGGTCATAGCATGTCTGAATACACAATTTGATCTGTTTTGATAGCCCTTGAACTGATATAGGTTGACCTTTAGACTTTTTGCCAAAAGCCCCTATCAACCTTATGAACTTTCTAAAGTATCTAGTCTTGTCAAGATATTAGTTGACAACACTTCCAACATACAACATAAGCAATGAGCTATCCCAAAAAGATGTTAATACATAAGGAAAACATATGGATGAAAATTCAAAAGCACTTTTTGTCAGAGAAATATGTTGCTATGAAAAATCCCTCCTACTAGAGCACACAGTTCTAATTTACCTGGAAGATGTTCTTATTGCTAGCAATACGTTAATAACGTGTTGCTGTATCTAGTTCAAACTGTTTCTATTAATGAAAATGATAAATAACATTTTGCCAACAGGAGAAGAAAAATGAAAGAAAGACTTAAGTTTCTAAGACATGCTCAGTTCTCAAAAAAAATCAAGAAAGCTAACTCCAAGACCTATCTTCTAGACACACAAGTTTCAGCAAGGAGAAGTTAATGTGCTGTGTCTGCTGAGTTGCTAAGTTTACCACCCTAAAATACCGCTTCTGCAAAAGTAGGAAAGAAAATTTGACACAGACACAATAAACTGGATTTTAGTGCAGCTATTTATACTTTGACAAAGCACACAGCGAAGGAGAAAAAGGAGAAATTCTTCACCGACCTTCGATATTTTGAAATAGTAAATATATGCTGTCTATTGTTACTGGTTCAACAAAGAAATGCAAAAGCACATAATTTCTGACCATTGTTCTTAAATGATCACCCTGATTACCACTTACAGCAATCATCAAGCATTCTCTAGGGGAAAAAGAAAAAACAACAAACAAAATGAGGGGAAAAAAGAAATCCTCACCAGGGGACAGTTTTCCATCACTTTCAATACATATTTTTTGTATTGAAATGGGAGCTTGTTCCAGCACAGAAAATATTTGTGAAACTATTTAGAAACTATTTTCTATTGGCAAAACTCACGAAAGATAAAAATAAAATGCCTGTGCTCAGTAATGTAGTATACCATGATGGACAATAATTAAGCCACACATTAAGAAATATGACCATGATCTAATAATTCGAGCTGTGTCCCACTATCAACGAAGTTACCCTTAGCCAAAAATAAATAAATAAATAACATGGTGTAACACGATGGAAAGTACAGCAATGACAGCAGAATAGCAAGGTCCTAAACTTCAGCAAGCAAGGACCCGTTCAAATGCAACAGCTATAGGCACACAAACAGAAGAATCTGCTTACCTTTGGAAGGCCTCAGGTACACAGGAATCTCCACTGAGATACCTCTGCCTCCACTGCCATCCCTTAAACGAGGTCTGAGATGAGGTGGATCCTGGCTCCCCCCCTTCCAGAACTCAGGTGCATTGCATGCATCTGAGCTCCTCTGGGTTGGCCCTGTCTTCCCACCAGCTGTTCAATCACTGCTTCAAGCTGTGACTTAGCATTTCCACTACACATGGGAAGTGATGGAAACAGAAGAGCTCAAACACCACGTGACAGCGAGATCAGCCCAACATCTGCTTCACTTTCGCAGTGCCAGCACAGCTGAACTTTATCTTGTGTCATAACTTAAAATTCTTCTAAATAGTCAATCAAGTAAGTGACACCAAGTACTGCAAATCACAATAGTCAACTAAGGAGGCTGAATGAAGAAGTAAAAGACAGCAGTCTAAAGGACTTGCTCAGCCAAAATTCTATCAAATATTTCCTACTGTCAGTGTGTTTCTGAAGACATACAACCAGGGAGCACAGACATTGCATAAAGAGATTAGGTAGACTGTGAAAACCTGGCAGAATCCCTTGCATTATTCAACAGCTCACTGGAAAAGTCCATATGCAAAACCATCCATACTTCCATCATAGTTAGGCAGAATTTTCAAATTGAAAGGTTATCTTCTGAAAACCTTTAGTTTCCGTAAGCTTAAGCATGAGAAAAAAAAAACAATGTTAAAGCTTTGTAAAGCCTTAAATCATTTCATACACATCTTTACACTTTGCTGCAGATTTAAGACAAACCGCATGCAGTTGCTTTGTTTGTTTTGAATGTTTTTGTTTATAACTTTGTAAAAATGTCAGAGTTTAGGGTGGTCTTTTTTTTTTGTTAGATCTTAGTTTCTGAGACTGACTCTTACTGATGGTCCTACTTAAACAAGAAGTGTATTCCAAAATTTCCGTGAGTCAGACTCTCCAGATTTTACATTTTGCACAGAACACAAAGTCCGACACACTCAGCAGGCTTAATGAGAGGCTGTAGAACAAGTTTTGATTCAGAGATGCTTAAGTTACTGTTGCAGTGATACCTGTTGAGGCAAAACCAACTTACAGGCATGCATAAAACCGTGAAAAAGCAAGAAAGAAAAAACACAGTAATGAATGGACAGAGCTATAAAGTTTTATGTTTTGTTACTGAGAATCTACTAACAATTCTTTCAGACTGCATTCTTTTTTTTTTATCTACTCTGATATAAAACCTATTCTTCCATTAGAAATTAACCCTTTCTGTACGAAGAGGAATTCTTATATTCTCGTGAATAATAATATCACGTCACCAAAAATTTTGATTAAAATTACAAATAAATTTCTTCAGTTTTTACCTCCTTTTTAACATCATGAGAATGTCAAAACAGAAAGCCACTGTAAGTACTTAACAAATGCTTGTCTTTGCATTCTGTTATAAGTACAGTCATCAGTATATATTTCAAACTCAGGCACTTTACTGAGAGGTACTGAAAAGAAAATCTAAGCAAACACCACCACCACAGACAACCTGCTTTCTGTAATGAACAACTACAGATAACATCTAACAATTTATTTGTATACTACGTCCTATTTATACAGAACCCTGCAAGAATAAGAATAAATTTTATACTCTGTGCAATATCTTAGGAAGTACTTAAATGATGATTACCTTATGGACACACTATACTCAGGATAAAAGATGCTTTTATACTGAACCCAGATCCCAGTTTCCTCTTCAGTATTCTGGCCATCTACTGAAAAGAGATTGAACGACGTGAATCTTCTCACAGACACTTGTTGGAGATGCACATCTTTCAAGTGCTTTTTCTTCAGAACCTTTGAAATGAAGAATAAATTAAACATTAAGAAAAAAACTTTTTAAGAAAAGAACAAATACAGGCTTCTTTAACTATAAGACAAGAATGGCATCAACCATAACAGCTATGTTGCTAGCTAATAGCTATGAATAACTAGTCCAAGCATGTCAAGCCTGAGAAAAATATTCACTATAGGAGTCAAGAGAATGGATTACGAATGTATTATGTCTCAAGAACTCTAAAGCAAATGTATTGTGTTCCCAAATAAAGTTGCTTTTTAAACTCTGCCTCAGCAAACCCATGCCAGAATTAGATAGGCAGATTGAGTTCTCTCCTGCTCTTGAATCACCACAACAGAAGTCTGACAGACCAAGCAGGGCTTTCACCATGCAATTTCGGTCCCACTCACTGTCCCTGTGAATGAAATGAGAAAGCACAGATGTCTTCCATGGAATTTAAATGACAGCCTCAAACCATGATCCTCAGGTGCCCTAGTGCTATGTTTTTGCCAGGTAAACCACTTACTACCTCGGAAGTCTGCTGTGACACTTTTGCACAGCTGCTGACAAATTTGCCACCTGTAACAGTCTCCAGACTTTGAGATACTACAACTACAAATCCCATATCATTGGCCAACCTTTCCACAAGCCTCAAATGCATTGACAGCACCAAATCCAGCACTAAGAAGCCAAAGAATTCAAAGCAATAGCATAGGCAGAGAACGTGGCCACTTACATTTTTTGTAGTAGCTACAAGAATTAAAATATTTGCTTAGGAAAGGGACAATGTGAGCCCACTGTCCTGCATAGCATGCTGCACTCAACCCTGCTTTCCAGGAGTGTGTTACCAACTCCTCCATATGGGAAAGCCTGTGCCCAGCTTGTTCAAGCTGTACCACCATGACAAAAGCAACTAGCATTTTCATGCCACACATAAAGGGTAATTCTTCAGGTCAGCGATGTGGAAGGAGAAGAGAAGTCCTGGATGTAAGTTCTTTCTTTTAACAATGGACAAAAAAAATGTAAATAATCACCACAACAGTTTTCAAATCAAGGTGCATAAGCACTCCACAATGATGAAAAAATGGAGCAGAAAATAAACTCATCACTAGAGATGAATAGAGCTGCATGAGATAGCTCTATTGAGTAGGAGCACACTGCAATTTTCATGTTTTTGCCAACTAGAGCTAAATCTGAAGTCAAACAAGAAGCAGCTCTCCAGAAATGGAAGCTTTGCATACTGAATGCGTACAAGAAAATAACGGGTCAGTGATTTTTGCTGCACCCAACCTTTGTCGACCGTGCTTTAACTGGAAATGCACTCAGATCCAGCAGCCTTACAATTTGGTGCCATGACCTATTATTTTGTAGAATACTTGGAAGTACTACATACAGGAGCAGAACAATTGTATTTGCTATGCTGTTAGTTTCTAATAGCAGGTCTGATGCATCAGGCTTATTGCTTTTGGATCTTTTTTTCATCAGCAGGGCTCAGCATATGAAAGGCACAGGCATTCTTATCAAAATATTAAAAATGGCTGTGTGCTGTCCACGCCATTTCTTCTACTCATGTTATACATGAGAAAAATACAAACACAAAGAAAATCACAAAACTATCAAAAAGGGAGAACTGAATTAAAAGACAACCAGAATATAATATAATAGCAGTATATCTTGAAATGAAACACCTTGACAACTAAAGAAATCCACCAAGACCTAATTATTAGGAAAGAATGTTGTTTGGAGGCTTTCTTAAAGCAAAAGCAAGACATTACTAACAGGGAAAAAAAAATCCAGCAGTGACATTTTTCTGTTTTGTTGTTGTTATTGATGTTGTTGTTCTACAGAGATATCTTCTACCTACTCTGTAAAATATATTCTCTAGATTAGTAGAAAATCTAATGAGTATTTGAGCACTCAAAAGAACATTTTTCTCTCAGCCTCAAACTAGAATTATGAGGTCCAATATTAGAAAATTATAACAGCAGGTCAAATCTTTTAAAAACCTAAATATAACTGAGAAAGCAGAGCACAAGGGAAGAATATGTTGCATTATTTATATTTAACTCTGCATTTTCACATTAGGATCAAAGTATCTTTTCTTAGTCAGCTCTTAAAAGCATCACAATTTTTGTTACAGTCTACAAAAACAGCCTGCTGTTCTGCATAATCCACCACCACCAAAAAAAAAAAAAAGAAAAAAAGAAAAACCAAAAAACCAAACAACAGGATGTGACAAATCTACCTAAACATCTAATTCTATTTCAAAAACTTTGAAAAATGGTCCTCTGTAATTTCATGGTGCCCTTTCAGTGAACTTGAATCTTCCAAATTTCCTGAATGCTGCCATTCTAAATGGGTATCTGCCAGGGACCTATAAAACCAGCAGGATGGATGTATCTCCAGGTTTTTGCAATGTATGTGGGCTTCAGCTCAGCACTAGTCCTGAAGATGCTGGGTGTATCTGTACCAACATCCCCACTGCTGAAGGACAACTCAGTCACTGCAGAGAAACTTAACTCAGAGGCAGGAATGAGCTCAAATACCATCTGCAAGCTTCAGACTCAAAAGAAATCAAACCCAATAACCCCGCAGATTTGTTCAAGTAATCCACTGCTGCTTACTTCATTGTAAGAGCTCTGGTCTACTTGCTTGTTTTGAACCTACATAGTCCAGTGGACATACAGTACTTCCAAAAGACAATAAATAAACAAGTAAATAAATAAAGAAAAGCAAGAGCTATCTGCTAACAGCCTCCTGGACAACACTCTCAAGACATATTATCTGATTTTTGGGTGGTCCTGTGTGGAGACAGGAGATGGACTTGATCCTTATCAGTCCTTTCCAATTGGGAGTATTCTATGATTTTACGTAACATCCAGAGGAGGGCCACAAAAATGATCCAAGGGATGGAACACCTCTCTACAAGGACAGGCTGAGAGAGCTGGGGCTGATCAGTCTGGAGAAGCGAAGGCTCCAGGGAGATTCATGAGTGGCATTTCAGTATCTAAAGGGGGGCCATAAGAAAGAATGGGACAGACTTTTTAGCAGGGTCTGTTGTTAGGACACATGAAAACAGTTTCAAACTAAAAGAGGAGGGATTTAGAGTATAAGGTTCTTTATTTCTTCCTTAGGCAGAAGAGAGGCAGTGAGGCACAGGAACACATTGAGAGGTGGTAGATGTTCCATCCCTGGAGACACTCAGGGTCAGGCTGGGGGAGCTCTGAGCAATGTGATGAAGCTATAGGTGTCCCTGTTTATTACAGGGGAGTTGAACTAGGTAGCCTTTAAGGATCCCTTCCAACACAAACGATTCAATGATTCTGTGTCATAATCAAAACATGAAAAAAAAAAACCTGAAACAAAAAAAACCCACCATCCATCATTCATAATCAATAGACAAGACACTAAAAACAAAAAAGCCAGCCAGCTAGAGGGCAGACCAGTCTGCCTTCTGTTTCAGATCCTGGATTTCCACAGATCTCAATTAAGGTCCTTTGGTACTTTATCACTCAGTATGTTAAGAACACATTAATGCTCCCTATAGAGACAATTACTTGAAGTTCACTAGATTTCTTGTACCTGATTGTTTATAGCCTGGCCGCACCAAAAGCCGAATTCAGTGCTGGTGCAGTGCAAACTCCGCTCAGACGTATGGCACTGATTTGGTCTTTACACGCAAAAGTTTTGTTCTAACCAGCTACAGCATAATCTGGAACCATTCCATCCCTACACAAGAGCAGTAGCTAATGCATATGCTCCTCCTTCTTACAAATTGTTTCGTTACCCAACAGCTCCATTCTGCCGCAAACAATTTACAAACTCGAGACTAACAAACACATGGAAAAAGCCCAGGAGCTGACCGCAGCGAACACCCGCACCCCTCCCTCACGAATGGAAACCGTTCCCTGCGAGTCCCGCTCCGCCCGCCGCCCCGCCACGACCCCTTCCCGCCCGCGGGCTCCCCCTACCTGTCCGAGCAGCCGCCAGCGGGCTCTCGCCGCTCCCGCACCGTTCCCTCCGCACCTGCCCGCGGCGGGGCGGCGCGGGGAGCCGGCAGCCTCAGCCATGCGGGAACGCCTGGGGTTGAAGCAACGAGAGAGCTCGGAGTGGGGAGCGGCGGCCCTGCGGTGCTGGGACCGGCCGGGCTAAGGCTTGGGAGAGAGGAAGCGGGGCGCCATCTTTGTTAATGGCAGTAGCACGTTGCCTGAGGGCGCAGTACATCTGCTGTACTGCGCGCGGCTCTGTAGGGGTGAGGGCGCGCCTCAAAACGGGGTTTCCGCGGGTTCGGAACCCCGCAGTGTGAAACGCGTGTGACTAAAGCAAGCGGCATGCAGAGACTGACGACAACCGTGCTCGACCGCAGCGACTGGCTGAAGCGCCCCACCGCCATCTTTGCTACGGGCAGTGCTGTCGGGAAACCGGAGCGGCTCGAGCCCGCTGCCATCTTAGCCCGGCCGGAGGGAGAGCCGCCCGGCTCGGGCACGGCTGTGCTGCCGCGGTGAGGGATGGAGCTGACGGGGTGGGGCCGGCTTTTCTGGCCTTCGGCGGGAGGGTGAGAGGGAACGGGGCTGAGGACTGTGGAACACGTGGGGTGTCCTCCCTTCCGGAGTTACAGGCGCAGTGGGGTTTGTTTCTTTGCCGATAAGCAGCCCTCCTGAAAGTGATTCTGTTGTTATAACGAGCTTTCAAAGCAGAAAAGAACCAGCTTCCCGAAAGCAGCATTTAGTCAGATGCATAGTTACATCTTTCTTGCTCTTCGCTGATAATTTCAGCAGAGCTAAACTCCTAGCTGCCGGGACCCATGTGTTGGAGCAACATAGAATCGCCTTAGTTGGAAAGAACCCTTAAAGACCACCTGGTCCAACTGCCCTGCACTGAACAGGGGCACCTACAGCTGGATCAGGTTGCTAAGAGCCCCCCAACCTTGAATGTCTCCAGAGATGGGGCATCCATCACCTCTCTGCACAGCCTGTTCCAGTGCCTCACTGCCCTTACTGTAAAAAACTTCTTCTTTATGTCCTCTTTTAATTTGAAACCGTTTCCCTGTGCCCTGTCACAACAGACCCTGCCAAAGGGTCTGTTCCATCCTTGCTTATAACCCTCCTTTAAGTACTGGCAGACTGCTGTTGTATCTTGTGCCTTCTCTTCCTCAAGTTGAGCAGCCCCAGCTTTCTCAGCCTGTCCTTGTAGGGAAGGTGTCCTATCCCGTGGATCATTTTTGTGGCCAGCCTCTGGACACTCTTAGAGGCAGGTTAACATGCAAGCTCAATTGCATGTATCACTTGGTAAAACCTTCAGTTTTACTGCTCTCATTTACCTAATGATCTTCGAAAGATGAAGCTTTATCTTCTGATTATGTTATGCATATTTCACTTAGTGCAAGTGATCAGGAGCTTGGGATGTTCATAAATTTCAGGTTGACTGTCAAGACTGGATTTGGATATCATGTGTTGGACTGCAAAATCTTTTGTCCGAGGGCTGAGCTTCAGTGTTAAATACTATCCTAAGGATAACCATCTTCCAGCACTATGTCTTTGTAGTACAATAAAACCGAACAAATGCCACATCCTCGACTGGTCAAGAAGTTCATGCAACAGCACCGTGCCACCTGGAAGAATCCTGTCATGGAGGTTATTTTCCTGCAAGGTATGCAGTTTGTGTATAGGCAATGTCAACAACTGTCTTGATGCATCTGTTAAGGAAGCCAACTCTGTTTTTCTGAAGTCAAAGAAATACTTTCTTACTAAAGGGCTTAAAGCAGGAGAATAAAGGCTAGGGCTTCTGTTATGTTCAAGGATGCATACGTTTGTTCAAATTCCCTGTACTGTGTTGATGTCAGTCTGCATTTTTGTTGCTTTTTCTGCTGTAACAATTTGTAAAAAATAACAAAGGGGGAAAAAAGTATTTTCTGGAAAGATTCAGAGTGTCAGGAGAAAACATCAGGGCTCTAGAGAGAGAGAAGTCATCCACTTATCCTAAGATGAACTGGCTCAAAAAAACTTGGCCTTTGGTGTATTTTATCTTAGACATTTTCAGATGGATGTGGAGTTGTTCAAAAACTGTTTCAAGCTGAGGTGTTTCTTCAAAGATGACCAAAAGATCAAATCCAAAATGTTTGTTGAAACCCTCTTATTTCTAACCATCACATAGCAGTTGCTATGCCTGTGCCACAAATTTAGATAAATGTTTCAAGGAAAGTAGCTGAGATCTTGATGTGTGAGAAACTGTGGCTGCACTGGCCGTCTGTAACAGGATTACAAACGCTGGGCTACAGCACTGGTTTCAGGAGTCAATCATGTGGTCTTTGCCTGTTTGTTCTGGAGCAAATGTTCACATTGTCACCGAGATTCTCTACTATCCTCCCAAATCCTTCTAGATGACTGCTTTATTCTCAGGTGTACTGTAACTTCTCCAAATGAAAGGGAATCATCATGAGCTTCCTAAGTGTCCTGTGAAACCTCCCAAAGACTTGTGGATGCTAAGGGAGATTATACATGTACTTGAAAGAGACTTTTAAAGTATTTTTAAATATCCAAAAGCCATATTCATACTCTTGTAGTAACGCAAAGCTGATTTGTCAGTTTGTAGCTCAGGAAATGTCATTGTCTCAGTACATTCACACTGGGGTATAGAATGCTGGTTTGTAGCCATTGTGGGTTTTTTTCCTTATTCAACAGGAGGGGACAAAAATCCATTTTAAAAAGAAAAAAACCACATCCATAACAGCATCAGAGCTTTTGTACAAAGATCTTCTGAAATCAGAGCAGGAAAACTGGAATAAAATCTCAAGAAGTTATAAAGCTATGACAAAAAGAATAAAGGAAAAAATAGAAGAACTGCACAAAAAGTATACACTCCATTTGGAAAGCCCAAGGGTGAGTGACAAAAAATACAAACTTTTTTTTGTCACTGAATATGATGAACAAGCAGCAAAGCCATTCCTGTTATAAAGTTCTGTTTCATTAGTTATTTTGTTGTGGTAATTTCAAGTGTTGAAGTTTTCAATAATTGTGGATAGCAACAACACAAATTAAGAATAGCTCATACCTATTAGATAGTATATTTGACCTTAATTTCACCATAGTCAGAAACAAACGAAGATCGCACAATCTTCTGCTAACTGATGAAAAATAAGACTACAAGGAGCAAGTGCAGGTGATCTGAACCATTCACTAAATTTAGAGCACGTATAGATAGCTTAAGTACCCTAACTTTAAAATAACCTTTCTGATGCATGTAATTCCTTCTTCCCCCTATTCAACATTAAATATGTGCTGTATTCGATCATTTACATACTGTTCTGCTGGACAGAACACTGAATATCGGGATTCTAAGAAGATAATCTATAGCTTAAATGGAAAAATGTTTGTTTTGCATTGAGCAGATAAGATTTGGAGGAAACGTTTACTTTGAGGAGAATGGTGACATATTTTGTTCAAAAGCAGATGATGGTAAGGGATTTCTCTTCTTAACTTGTTAACAATTGTTGAAAATGTTGTGCATACATAATTAGTACGCTTTTTTACTTTAAAGCATATTTGCTGTTTATTTTAAGTTTTTTTTATAACGTTATTTAACAATAGATGAGTAATTCCACAATCCTGAATCTGAAAACATGGGGTGAAAAGAGTAATGGAATGGCGTATTCTGAAACTGAGGTAAGTTTCTGGAAAGGAACTGAGAATCAACCTCTCAGAGCCCCAACTTAAAATGCTAAAAAAGGTCAAGTATCTCAAGAGATTATAAAGAAAACATAAACTAAACAAAAAATACCCAAAAGCTACACTTCAAAATTTAGAGCATTGACCAGATGCTATTGTATGTGTAATTTTATTTTTACACAGTGCATTTGTAGATATCTCATGAAAGAAATCCTTGGTTTCAGTAGTAAATGTTCTTATTAAATACTAGTGTAAAAAAATACTGTTCATTTTGACACACCTCAGTTACAGGATTTTTTTTATTTTATTTTTTTTTACACTTGTTAAAATGCAACAGATAAAGGAAACGTTCGCATTTTATTCAGCACTGAAGATATGGGCTTTTCTGGTACCGTTATTAAACGGATCAGGGTTTCACCAGATGAGAGGTACCTGGCTATCAGCTTAAAAAGTGAAAATTCTGAAGAGGCAACCTGTGTTATTATGAAACTCGGTGATGTTCCCATTGTGGAAGAAGTAATTCCAAATGTTTTTAGTTTTGGTAAGTTGTTTATAAATATCCTATGGGTCACACCAACTTCCAGTACAACATTGCTTTTAGCCTACAAATAATGGTGATAGTACTTATAAAAATTAAAAAAAAAAAAAAAATTTTTTTTTTTTTTTTCCAGTTTAAATCCTCATAGCTGTTGAACAGTTTCTTATTTGAGAGATGTGTTCTCCTACACTGTAAAATTACAAGTTATTTGATACGAATGAGTGACTCCTTTCATGATACAAGTTTTCCCTTATTATAAAAGCAAGCATTTGTATGTTTGAACACTTTTGCACATCATTCTTCTTATTGAATTCAACATACTTCTTTAAAAATTTACTGACATAACTATTTGCAATATGAGGATCTTTTTATGGGAAGCTGTAGGTAATATACCTCTGCAGCTTCAACTGAAGTCACTTATAGCTGTAAGCACTCTTCTGAGAAGTATAAAAGTGCTCAGTACAGGATGTGATCATTAAATTCAGAACTTAATGAAAACAATCACAACTTCAGTCAATTCTTCCAGCACAGATAATGGGGTTTTACATTCCTGTTACAAAAACATAGAATTAAACCTAAACAAATGGCAATTTTTAATAGCATATTAAAGAAGAGAGCAAAAATAGTGCAGTAGAGCACATCCAATGTTCCACATCTTGTATTTCATATTATACTGCTAGATATCATCGAGGATACATAGTCTAGTAAGCAGTTTGCCTCAGCAGGACAAGAATTTACAACACTGGGAAAAAATGCCTAGTTAAAAGCATTAAGGAAAGCTAGAACTTAATGCCATGTTTGCACAGTAGAAGCTTGCAATGTCTGCAATGTCTGTACAATTGCTTGTGAAGTGATTTCAACACAGTGTCCAATGTTCACGGAGCTCCATTTTCTCTCAGTAATAGTGTTTACACTGTTCCAAGTTTGATATACATTTCTTTTCATTTTAGAATGGGCTACAAATGATGTTCTGTATTACACAAGTCAGAAGAACCTTAAATGCCAGAATGTGTTCATGACCACTTTCACTAATGAGAAATATACTAAGTTGGTTTACACAGAACAAGATGCAAGGTAATATTCATCTAAAATACACTAAGTCTTTAACATATTCTGTAGTATTCAATATGTAGACTCTAAGTGGTTTTGAAACAAATTCTTCCATATCACATTTCAGAAGGTAGAAGGCATTTTTAAGTTCTGTTCTGCTGTCTGGGAATGTATTTTCCTCTCCTCTTGATATGTGATCAGCAGCGATTTAACTTTTCTCTGTTACCTCACGAGTTCAGCTGAGTTTATAAATGCCAAGGTCAGACTCAGGTCAGGGTGTCCTTTAATGAACGCGTGACAGTTTCATACAGAGTAAACCAGACTGTGGGTTTCATTTTGTTTTCTCTGCTATTGATGTCTGATACAACTTTTTAAAAAACATTGAAGTTCAGGCTAATCCTTGCTCTGGGTAATGGATGAGCAAAATCATCACAGCATTCACAGAGAGAGGACTATTGTTGACTGAATACCCTCTCAATAACCTTTCTTTAAGCAGTGGTTTAGGAGGGCAAGAAGGCTCTTGCTGAATTGAGAGCAGAACTGGTTTTTAAACCACGTAGCACTAAAATGATAGATTTGTACAGCATGCCATAAATATTTGTGATTATTCTTACTTCAAGTTACATACTCAATATAGAAATACCCTTTATACATTCATCTAATAAATGAAAAAAAAGTCTGCAGATGAGATGGAGTAGATAAGATCTGTATGTTCTATCTGTACTTGATACATACTTTTGTAAAATCAAACTGCACTGACCTGATGTGTCCCCACAGGGAAACTGTTGGCATAATTCTGAAGGTCATAGTCATTACAGTTAATCTACTAGAAACTTACTCTAAAGGTTCATATGCTAGTGCAGCTCATGATTGAACACAGTTGTTCGTAGGAGATGGCAAGAGATTCTTTTTCATTGCCATAGAGAAGTTGTTCTACATACCACCAACTCTTCTACTTGCAGTCAAATATTTTTTTAGAAGCTGAAGATATCTTGACTTCCTTTAAAAAAAAAAAAAAAAAAAAAGCTACAAGGAAAAAAAAAAAGTGATATGAAGGTCAGAGTCCTTGGGGAGAAGTGTAACCTGCATTTCAGCTTGACTCTCTTAGAGGTAAGGTCAACAGAGCCAAACTGTTAGAATCTATACTGAATGCAGTGGCGCACACTTGCTGAATTTCAGTGGATTAGAGGCAGAAAACTGATTACTTGTGTACTTTAGGAGGACACAGACAGTGGGAGTTGTAAAAATGTCAAGATGATGCAATTAGACAAAACAATTGTACCAAAAAACTGGAATTCCTACACCTGCAAATAATTAAAGGCAGTGAAAAATGCTATCCAAGGCTTCCTTTCTTTCACCAGTCAAATATTTTCAAGTCTAGAAGGTTCATTATTGCTGTCAGTGCAGAATACATTACTCAACCCTGCAATTTCTTTTAAAGACAACTAGTTTTAAAGATTCAAAATGGCACAGAAACTCCTGTGCCCAAAGATTTGACATATCAGTTAATTAGCATGACTCATTTAGAAACTTGAAACTGACTTACAGCCTGAACTTGTTCAATATTAGCATCCAGACACTGCTGAACATTTTCTGTTCCTAGATTTTAGAAGCATTTAAAATTAATGGAGTTCCAGAAACAGTTCCCATTTTCCAACTTTGCAACTTTGTCACTTCAGCACTGTCCATCCTGTCTTATAAAGGCCTGTGTTCTTTGTTTTTTTTCCTTTAAGCTTTTCTTTATTGTCTTACATCAGTAGCACTTGGGCTTTTTAATTATTTGCCCTTATAGTATAATAGCTCCTACTTTTTTATTGCAGTTTCCACATGTTACTCATTAATTTTATTAACTTCAATTATTCTTCAGATTTTTTTTTTAAATAGGGCTACTATCTCAAAAAAAAAAATCTGTTTTGCATGAATTTTAAAGCCCACGTACATCTAACACCCTTCAATCTGAATGATTCAAAAATCTGGATACATTTGGACAACAACTGAACAACTTTCCTTGCAGAGTTCAGGTTCCATACCCCAAACTGTGGGTTTTTGAATGCTGGGATAAATGTAGCAAAAGTGGGTTTGGGAATCAAGTAGTCTGAAATCTCTCCAGCCTACATACAGGCTCGCTGTTTCTTACATTGTAATTAGAAGCCCATGATTCTGAATTAACTGTGTTATTTCTTTCAGATTTTTTGTGGACATACACTGCACAAAAGATAGACGTTTCCTCACTATCAATAGCAACAGCAAGACAACCTCAGAAGTTTGGCTGATTGACTGCAGACATCCTTTTAAGTTACCTGTTCTTGTGCAAGCCCGAACACAAGGGGTCATTTATCACATTGAGCACAGAAACAATGAGTTATATATTCTTACTTCATATGGAGAACCTGCAGAATATAAGGTAATCTTAAGCAATAATAAGAGTCATAGGATTCATTCAGACGCTTGTTGCAGACCACAGAAATAGTAAAGCTAGATTTTAATTCTGTGCTTCACAGCTTACTGAAATAATTTAAGAGAATTACACAGAGTTGCATGGATTTAAAGACTGACAGTAGTACGTGGAGTCTTGCCTACAGCATGCTGATTTGATTCAGCTTCTTTGGAAAAGCACACTCACTTCTTGGCGTAAACAGCCCCATTTCCCCTTTATTATAATTTGATTTCAGTCTATATAACCAAACAGCTCACAGTTCTACCAGACACAGTGAAGGCATCTGATATTTGAAATTACTTTTGCAAATAACTTTAGATACAAATTTTTCCATAAATTTGTTTCTCTCAGCATCGGTTTTTCTAATCGCATTCAGACATTTTCAGAGGCAGCCTTACTTTGACAGCTAAAAGCACGCCACTTCCTGGGAGAGAGAAAATGCCTCACTGCTCAGTTGAGAGCATCTTGTCCTGCATGTAGTGCTGAGCATCAGATATGGAAAGATGACCTACTCTCAACACAGTATACATCTAACTTGCTCTTGTGTACTGAATCAAGAATGTACATTGCAGTCACTCAAATGTCACAATCTTGTATTTTTTAAACATTTCCCTACTCCTAACTAAGGAAAAAAGAATAAAGTACATTCAGCTTGCTTTGATCCAACCTTCCAGTTATGCTGCTTCTAAAATCCAACTTAGTTGTCGTAAAGGAACACAATACAATTGCAAATAGAGTTGTAACATCTAATTGCCATCTGTAACACATCTCTCTTGCTATCAATACGTAGGCAGTTACTGAATTGTTCTCCTGTTTGCCCAAGTAAAGGGAATTTAAAGCCTTCCAGTTTCAGTCATCAATAATCTTTTGTAATTAAAATGGTGAGTGACATCACCTGTATGACTGTACCTCTAACTTATAACTCTCACTTTATCTTGTATTTTGTTCTTGTAGTTGATGAAGGCTTCAGTAGTTTCCACTGGCATGGAGAACTGGCAGTTAGTTTATGCACTGGAAGAGAAAACCAAGCTAATAGACTTGGAGATGTTCCGTGATCACTGTATCATGTTCCTGCAGAAAGCTGGCTGTCTTTACTTAAACGTGATTGCTTTTGTTTCACGTTCAGTTCAATCAATACAGGTATGTTTTAGCTTGGCTCAAGCAACGTGCTTTTTCCAGCACTGTTTCTTTTTAATGTAGCATTACAAAATAAAAGATAAATTACAAAAGTAGAAGTGGTTTGGAAACTAATAGTGACAAAAACATCATTATGATTAATTATATTACCTGTGGATGTTCTTCACAATTTCACACGTGCTGGCTTATTGTAGCAGTTATGAAATTAAAGAGCAGCTATAGTACAAGTCCATTCTTTCCTCAACTTGCTACCATCAAACTCTTTACAATACAGTCGATTTCTAATGTAAAATAAGCCTTGATTTCCCAAACACTGTATTTTTATTGGGCTGATTTTGTGGTTACATTCATCAGCCAATGCAAGGAAATAAGCATAGCCCTCCCTGAGATTAAAGGCTAGAACATCGAAAAGACAAATATGGTCACTGACCTAAAATGAATAGGAAAACCTAGTATTGCAGTACAACTTCTGTCAAGTATTTCTTCATTTCTCTAGATGTTGCAAAATACTTGTGGAATACAAATAAAGGGTCTCCATTCAAAACCACAGCTTCTAGAGATCATTTAGCTGAAATATTTAATTGATTTGTTTGCCTGAGAAGTACTATCTGAAGAACTTGCAAGTTTATTCCAACAAGCTTCCAAGGCTGCATTCTATAAAACTGCTACAGAGAAAAGGTTTTCAGCAAAGTACATTGCATGGTCTCTGAAACCTTTCATTTTTCAAAATAGTTTTAGTTTATTTATTCAGAGAGAGTCTGCAGTTACTCTGGAGAACTTTGACTTTAGTGCCATTTCAGAAATCTCTCACAAACTAACTCGAGCAAGCAATGGCCTGGCAGAGGGTTTGACTATGTTCCTGCTGCTCACAAAGAATGAATCTTGATTTCTTTTATTCTTAGTGAAGTTAAAAATCTTAAATATAATAGCAGTAAGTGTCTGAGGGTAAATGTGCCAGGAAAAGGTTTTGTTCTTCACAATGGCTGGCACTAAGAACAAAGTTAAGAGGCAGGGGTTTTTGGTGGCTTAGCATTACTGAGCTAACTCACAGCAAAAGCATAACAACTGACATGGACTTGGCTGTGCAACATGTTCAAGCAGGAGTGGAAATCAGAGGGGAAATGGGATCTAAAAATTAAAAACAGCGCAGAATCATTTCAAATGTTTTATTTAAAAAAAATCTGTACAAATGCCCATTTTAAACTGGATTCTAATTTAGATTTATTTTTCTGTTTTATCTCATTATTGAATTTCATCCAATAGCCTCAAGTGAAAAGTTTACCACTTTCTGACCGTTCTATTATTGAATGTAAAAGAAATACAGCTTGTGCTACATCCAAGCTGCAGATAATTAGCTTGCTATTCAAAATCTTTTCCTCAGAAGGACACGCTAGGCAGAACTTATAGAAGCAGTGTAAAGGTCTCACTTGAAACACTCTTTTTTCTCAGCTACCTACATGGGCCTGTGCCTTTGAATTGGAATCTCATCCTGAACACGCCAGCAGCACTTGCTATTTTCAGCTCACCTCCCCAGCACACCCCCCAAGGCGTTTTGCATATTCATTTAAAGAAAATAATCTCATTGAACAAGCTGCAGAAGAGGTACCAATTATTATGAATTGTCACACTACACGTTTACTAGCTAAAAGCAAGGTAAGATTTTTCAGTCCTTTCCCCATTCCCTTTATTCTTCCCTTCCTCCCCACCCATTTGTAGAAAATGCATTTGGCAGGGAATAGAGATTAAAAATGTAAAAGAGCAGTTGGTGCTGTACTTACCAGTGGGCGTTTTCTCCAGTGCTATAGAGGAGAAAAAGAAAGTCGTGATGAGATTTTTTTCATTGATCTGGGCATGCTAGAGAAGATAACAGTCAAGAAGCTCAGCACAGCATAACTCAGACTCACTAAAAGATGTATGGTATCCTGGTATCTATGATAAATGAGAAAAATGTCAGCTGCTGAGAAGGACACCCCACAACCATCTACACAGCACAGATCAAGAAAAGAAAGTTTTAACAGCCTGAGTTTAAAAAAATGGTGATGTTAATAGAGAGTTTGTGCTGCAGTAAGTGGTAAACTATTTTGTTAATAATAGATATTCTCTGCGTTAAAGGGAGAAGGAAGACTTGGGTGCTTTGGTGGTTTAAAAACTCCTCAGGTGTTGCACTTAAATGAATTTTATACTCTGCATCTATAAGCCTACACAGCAGAGGCTCAGTCTCTTGCTTTATTTTTCAAGAGTGCTTTGTACAATCTAAGTGAAAAAAAATTACTGTAATCAAAAAAACACATTTTAAAATAAATAATTGAAGTTTTCATTGCCATGTGTCATTGAGATTTCTGAAATGTCTGAAATACTCCTTCATTTCCAGGATGAAACTTTGGTGCCAATTACAGTTTTTCATAATACGAATTCTAAAGAGCTACACAGGAAACCACTTCTAGTTCATGTATATGGAGCTTATGGCATAGATTTGAACATGAGCTTTAGAGAAGAGAAGCTGATGTTAATTGAAGAGGGCTGGATATTAGCATATTGCCATGTTAGGTAAGTCAAATATAAAATGGAATTAATATTTTCATTTGTGGGATATTCTGATATTTGTTGATCTACAGCTGAAGAGGTACAGAAATGTTCCTTCCTCCCTTCTCCCTCTCCACCCCTCATTTAGTTCTAATTCATGTTTTTCACTTCCACCTCTTTTTAGAATTCTCAAAAATCCTTTTTAAAACAAAAAATAAATTTTCCTCTGGGAAAAATAATTTACTTTTAAGACCATGTACTGTGTTCATGTTCTTATGTCAACAGTGTGATTATGTATTAAGTTTTAATCTTTTGAAGTCTCAATATTTTTCACCTCTTCTTTGCTCAAAAAAACCCCCAAAACCTGTTCAAATGTTCAAAGTGTTCAAATGGCAGTGATAAGCTACCACCTGCTTTCCTGAGGGCACTGTGTACTAATGCTAAGTCTGTGCCTTCTGAAAACCATTTGCCTTTCTACAGCTGAATGTTTAACCTGCCTCTGTATTTTTCTACTTACTAAATCCTGTCCCCAGTTTAGCTACAAACCCATTAGTTTCATAAAAACAGGTCATACAGCAGACTATATTGGAGGCACAATTCAGTGGACAAGGGAAGATTGTCACTTTAGGAATAGAGGAGCATTGTTTGAAATACCAGTTCCAAAACAAATTCAACATACAAATATATAGAGTCTGCTAATAAAATGGCAAGCATTGTGCAGTTCTTCCTCCCATCTTTGCAAATGTCTTATGATGCAAATCAATCCTAAGCAGTATCAATGAAAAATTTTGGCAGAATGATCTTTTGATTGATTTTAAACTTAAACCTGGAATAAAGACATTTTAGGTGGATTAGAACAAGAATTGTGGTTGTATGGAAAAGGATACAAGTAAATTTAGTGTTAAAGTTTTATAAATGGTAAAAAATACTACATTTCCTCTCATCTTTGAACTCAAACTAGAAAAAATGAACCTTATTGGCAGTCTCAAATTTTATGCTGCACAAAAGAATTTGAGCATCTTGGCAGAGCTGAGAAATAGTCTTTTAACGTTAATAATAAATCTGGCGATAGTGATATAAAAATGGAAGATGTTTCAGTTACCGCTTTCATAGTTTCCTACAAAAAGATGATATCAGTGTTTGATTTTGTATTGACTACTCTGACACTGCTGATAGCATTTTCACCAGTCATCGTGTGAGGATTTTTTTTTGTTTGTACATAGTGTGTTTTAGCTGCAAGGGGAGGAGTGGGTAAAGACAGGAAGAAAGGGAAGTTAACTGGAAAGACGAAGTGTGATTTAGCAATTCTGTGGCTGCTGCTGTCTTTTATTATGTGAAGATTTACTTGCAACATTTTCCAAACAGACTCCAACTTGAATTGTTTTAAATTCCAGGGGTGGAGGAGAGCTAGGCCTAAGGTGGCACAAAGATGGATGTCAGCAGAACAAACTCAAAGGTCTCTATGACCTTAAGGCTTGCATCATGCTGCTGCATGAACTAGGATTTTCTCAGCCAAAATATACAGCACTAACAGCTGCCAGTGCTGGAGGAGTTCTTGCGGGAGCCGTTTGCAACAGCGATCCAGAACTTATCAGAGCCATGGTTTTACAGGTGAGCTGCTGCAGATCCTTCATTATAGCATTTAGCTGTATTCTGTTTTGGTTTTGCTTTTTACCAGTTCCAGAAATTCAAACGTTCCAATTCAAAATTTCCCTTATTTTTTTTCTTTTTAATAATTTTAAGGCACCTTTTGTAGATGTTCTGAACACAATGATGAAAACTCATCTCCCACTGTCAATTGAAGAACAAGAAGAATGGGGAAATCCGTTAGCAGATGAAAAATGTATGAAGTACATCAAAAACTACTGTCCTTATCACAATATTAAGCCACAGGTAAAACTAGTGTACACACAGGAGGGGTAGTAAGACGTAGTGCTTCATAGGAAAATAGTTGTAAAAAAAAAAATAAGTTAAAAAATATAAATCTGTTTTACTCTTTCATTGCTTTACAACCCAACATTTTAAAACTTTGCTGCTGCTTTGTGTTAACTTCATGTTAAAATCATTAACACAATCAGTAACTATTTCCGTATTTCCTTTGTTTTTTCCTTTGTTTTACTGGCTTATCCAGACTTCACTGCAGCAGGAAGATGGCACTTTGCACTGATTAAACACAAACAGTGAAATGGAAAAGAAGCTCTATGGCTTTGATACTGTTATCTCAGATGAAAGCTTTAGTTGAAGTATGTTAGCTGTGTTTCATAGATAATAGATCTTACCATATTAAAAATACTCTGGCATATAAATATTACAAAAGTAAATCTCAACTACTGCTCTGTTAAAGATGTACCATTCCATGATTATTACTCCTTTTTTGTGTAATCATCAGCATGCAGACGTTTCACACCTTTAGCAGTAGGGAGAGGATGGTTTTTGATTACCTTTTGCAAGTGGATGATCCTCTGATATTAATTTGTCATTTTTAAGGTCAGAATGCTTTTTTCAGCTAGTGATACAAGATGCTTTTTCAAGACAGAGTAATTACGTAACAAATTCATTTTAGATAAACCATAAGAAGTACAACTCCTGGATATATAGAGAAAAATGTACTTATTTCAATAGATCATCAGTTGTCAAGTATCTAACTGGTTTTGGTTTTTAATTTCAGTGCTATCCTTCAGTTTTTATCACAGCATATGAAAATGATCAACGAGTGCCACTGACAGGAATTCTGCGGTATGTTCAGAAACTTAGGAAGGCTACCCTAGATCACGCCAGCAGAACAGGAAAGGAAGGTAAAATAAGAATATCACAGCTGTATGGACTTGACTAAAGCAGACTAGTTGTGTAATTAAATACTACAGATTGACTCTTCCTTCAATGCTTCGTTTGTTCAATACAATCCAGGAGCCCTCTTTTGCTCAGAATGAGCATGATTACCTTTGAGAATGATGAGAATGATTACCTTTCCAAAGAAAGAACACATTGGATACTTGAACGTTTTTAAATCCTCAGTTAATAGAAATACAAATAGTTCATCCAGCAAGACCCTCCATGATTATTATTATTTTTTTTAAGAAACATCAGAATATGTTTTTGGAAGGTAGAATAATTATCTATCCCTGAACAACTTGCACTGCCCACTTACCTTTCTTTGTTCATTCAATGTCAAGTGATCAGTAGTTTCATTGTTCCAGGAAACTGGATCCCTAAAATCATCTTAGACATCCAGGCAAGTGGCAGTCATTGTGACTCATCCTGGGAGGATTCATTGACTGAGGTATGTTCCCTTCACTGTACACTTGCACAGCACTGTGAGGAGGTATCCCTCAGCTGATACTTAAACCTTAGCAACTGATGCAGTCACTGAAGACATGTTTTAAATACTAAAAACAAAACAGAAACAAACCCCAAAACTGCTGAAATTAAGGTTGTTCTTGCATTTATATATGGAAAGGAGCCATTGACAGCTAGATCAGTGAACCTCATTGTGCTTTAAACCTCAAGGCAGCATTAAACTCCCACTGTGATGTGCCAAGAGCTTTGAATGAAAGGCCCTTTATTCCAGCACGAAAAGTCGTGCACTGTAGAGTATTAAGACCTTATTTATTTCCATCTTCCTCATAAAGTATATATGGTGGACTTGAGTGTTACATTTTGGAACATGAGTTACAATTAAGTTTCAATGTTTTACACTTAATACCAGAGCGTGTGCTGAAAGCAACAGGCTGCCAAGACCTGTCATTTTGCTGCTCATGTCTCAGACTATCACAGATTTTATTCCTGTTATTTATTTATTTTAAAAATCCTAGCAAATGCTAGTTATTGTGGCAATTGTATTTTGTTTTAGGGCAAGGTATTGCTTAGTATCAGTATGTAAAAGATTGCAATAGCTGTACAATAACCTTGGCAGTTTATAGTGCAAAGAGTTTCATTATTTTGTAATTATTTGCTTTAGGTTGCAAGACACCTTGCTTTTCTGAAAAAGGAACTTCAAGTGTGACATCCCCAGCATTAAATCAAGTCCTGTAAATAGCTGATAAACACATCCACCACCTAAAGAAGTTCAAGTCAGATTTTCATTTGTATGAAAAAGTGTCTTCTCCAGATGTATTACTGCATTATGGGCACAAACAGACCAGATACGCAGGGACAAAATTGGGTTTGGCATCAGTTTATAAAGAACCCAACTAAACTAAATACCTTCCCTACCAAATGGTACAGAAGGAGCTGCTTTCCTATGTGGTTCTGTTCATAAGCAAGCAGTACAGCACTGTACAAGTGGAGCTGTAGTGCGAGACAGCTTGTGCTGAAAGTCGAATGTACGTCTAATGTACAAAGACATGAATGTTTTATGACCTTTTATCCAAGAGTAAATTCCACACAAGGCAGTAAATCCCCTCCCCGAAGTTGTATTTAATCAAAAAATCTCACTAAATTATTCCCAAACTAATTTCCATATGTAGGAAAATACTGTCCAGTAGATTACACTGTACTAATCATTTGGTGGGGCCAGACTGGGAAAAAAAAAAAAAAAAAGAAAAAGCAGAATCTTTTATCTGATAAGATAAAAGCATAGGAATCTTAAAAATTAGGTGCCTCCAGAAGATAATACAAAATGAATGCCAAAGTTGTGAACGCTATTTAAATGACAAAATTGTTTATTACCCAGTACAGATACAAGACAATTTGGTATTAATTTTATTTTTCAAGCTGTTTATTGTGTACAGAAAGCAAGCCTGAAAAGCCAAAAAGAATTAGCATTTCTCTGAACCAAGCATTTTCTAAGTTAACATGAAAGCTACTCTTGCATTTAGCAGTTCATGTAGAGTAAATTGAAGGCACTGGAATAACAAGCTTTTTCAGACACAAAACAGTTTTCTTGAAAAGCTTCCATATTATGAACAGGCTTTCCTGTTTTATATTCAAGGACCAGACCTTCTCCTGCCTCAGTTTTAATTATTCTGGTATCAACAGTGTTACCAGTATTGCTAAAATTAGTACTTAGTCTTATCACAGCTTGAGATGGGAGGCTTGGAACCATAGCTTTCAGATCTATTGTCGATTCCTGTCCAAAATTGAGAACCATCATAAAGACACTGTCTAACCCATCCAATTCCCTCACGTACACAAAAACATCACTGTCGTTCCAGATGGAGCACATCCACCCCCGATGTATGGGTAGCTCGTTGTTGTGAAGTAGAGTTAGTTCTCTGTACAAATTCAGGGTTGAGTTGGACTGGGCCATCTGAACCTGCAACAGAGTCAGCATTGTACGAGATGGACCTCTCACGTGCACGCCATCTACCAGGAACAACCTCTTAGAATTCAGTTCTAACAATTAATTCTCTTCAAATTTGTCTGCCAATTCCATGTCAAAAGTGCTTTTTCTCATGCACTTTCTTGAGATTTGTTCAGTGGCAGAGATTATCCAGCAGGACAGAATTTCCTTGGCACAGATACTACCTTCCAGCTGTCTCTTAGAGTCTTTAGCATTTGTTCTACAGAAAACCACAGCCATTTAAAGCTTGATAGTGAACCTTTTTCACTGAGTCTGATCTACTGAAGTCATAGGATTTATTTCCTGTTTGTTGGGGTTTCTTTTCTTTTCTTTTTTCCCCAGTCTTTGCATTATATTTTTGTCTTCAGTGTTGGTCAGCACTTTAGATCAGCAAAATCTGCTTAAGCCACTGCTCAAATACTGTAAAGTATATAAATACATTTTTTATAAACAGTCTGTGTAAAGTTATTACAAGGAGGGTGCTTTACATACACTAATATAAATGAAAAGTATTGGATTTCAATTTAATGTTAAAATGATTAAAGGGACGTTAAGTCAACTTGCCACATCAACATTATCGCTGCAGTTGCTCTGTTTAAATGACTACAGCTGAAGCAGACTCTTTGCTGATGCAAGGATTTCTTTTCCTAACAAAATCAGTTAAGATTCAATGCTTTTCTGTTTTCCCCCCTGGAGTTTTGTTTTTGTTACACTGCCAGGTCCCATTAGAAGTCGGAGAAAAATAGATACATCAGGATACTTTTAGACCATTGGTTTGTCACACACAAATACCTACTTCAGCATTGACACTTTGGTAGTCAGAGTTAACAGGTATCCAGCTACTGTTGCCTTCAGTAAAACCAGCGTTATCGTTGCTGTTCCACTGCATAGGGGATTGAGCTGGAAAGGTCACCTAGAAAACAAAGCGGTGTTAGAGCCATTACCAAGTTGTGTATTTTAATTAGCGTGTTAAAAAGCTGGCACTTAAATAACACATTCTCAGTTCCACACATAATCACCTTTTCAGCATTATTTTCTCTGGTTGATGTTAAGAATCAACAAGGAGGATGTAATCCTGATGCAGATCTCAAGAGAAACAGTTAGAAGAGTAGCTCTGTGGTAATGGAAGAGAACAGACAGTCCAACAGATACAGCACTACTGACTAAATGTGGAGTTCCAACTAAGCAGTAGTCTCCCCTTGCAACAGATGGTTGACTAAAAGCAGCTAAAATATTCTGATAAATAACTAGACATGCACTTAGAGAAAGTACAAGAAAATGAGTCCCAAGAAGAGATAACAGCAAATGAGTAAATGCTATTGAGAATCTGTTCTTCTCCAGTCACCAAACTTTTCATTGTAGGTCTCTTCAAGCTTGTGTTTGCAAGGACTACAGCTTGGGGAGGACTGCTTGTGTGAGAAACAAATTTCTCAAGTTCAACAACTGTACTGAATAGCAACTTTCAGCTTATTGAAAGGTGTTATGTAAGAAGATGAATGAAGTTCTGATTTTGAGGGATTCAGAAAAATTATGACAAAGCTTCCTCAATGTTATTGAAGAGCTTGCCAAAAGATCTGACACTTAAATTTAATGACATAAGAGGGCATAAAATATTTTGCACATACTTTGGGTGTTTGTTTCCTATGAAAATTGTTTTTTTCATATAAAGGACACTTTTCACTACAATCTGTCAGAATAGCAGCTTGACAAAAGAAATTGTCACTTTGCCTCATGACATTATAAATAACGGGTTTCTCCTTTTAGCATGTTCTGAAAAGCAGGGAAAAAAAGAATCCTAAGTTTTTAACACTTGTAACACTCCCTTTTATCTTTACCTTTTCATGATTCTTAAAGACTTTCAAATGCTGGGATTGAAAACTATTTCTTGAGCAAATCCTCTCTACCTCATTAATCAGGGACTCTTCCTCTCCAGATCGAACGAAGAGTGGTTTTGCATTGTTACAAACCCATGAGCCACAGGGTGGCAACTAAATGAGAGAATAACCTGAGGAGCCAAGGGCATGCCACTTTGCTGAAGAGCATCTTTTTGTCAGCAGTAATCAATGACAGTAAGATAATGCAAGACACATTTTTTGGTTTCTCAGAGACAAAGCGATTTCCTGTCAGAGACATTTCTTCACAGCTGAATCAGACAAACCTAGGGACGATTCTGTGCTTCTCTGAGTGCATCTTTCCCTTTGGTACAAATCTGGCCAATAATACTCTCAGTAACATCACCAGCAGCTGCCTCATTCTGCAACAGAATCATAGGATAGCTTGGGTTGGAAGGGATCTCAAGGATCATCAAGTTCCAGCCCCTCTGCGACAGACAGGGTTTCAACTGTGAGATCAGGTACTGGATCAGACTGCCCAGGGCTCCATCCAACCTGGCCTTAAACACCTCCAGGGATGGGGCATCCACAAACTCTGGCCAATCTGTTCCAGCGCCTCAGCACTCTCTCTGACTCTAATCTAAATCTCCATTCCTTTAGTTTTAAACCATTCCCCCTTACCCTATCACTACCTGACCATGTAAAAAGTTGATTTCCTTCATATTTATTAACTCCCTTTAAACACTGGAAGGCCACAATGAGGCCTCTCCCAACAGCCTTCTCTTTGTCAGGCTGAACAATCATAGAATCATATAGAATCACAGAAGGGCCTGGGTTCAAAACGACCATAATGATAATTTAGTTTCAACCCCCCTGCTATGTGCAGGGTTGCCAACCACTAGACCAGCTTGCCCATCAGCCTATCTTCATAGGAGAGGTGTTCCAGCCCTTAGATCATCTTCATCTCCTTCCTCTCCAAATTCTCCACATCCTTCCTGTGTTTAGAGCCCCAGACTTGGATGCAGTACTCCAGCTGGGGCCTCACAAGGGCAGAATTACATCCCTCCCCATGCTGGCCACCCCTTTTGATGCAGTCCAGGATACCATTGGCCTTCTTTGCTGCAAGCGCACACTGCTGGCTCATGTTAAGTTTTTCATCAACCAGGACCTGTAAGTCCTTCTCAGCAGGGCTACTCTCAAGTTCTTCTCCCAGCTTGTAGACGTATCTGCGGTTACCTCGACCCAAGCGCAAAACCTTGCACTTTGCTTTGTTGAACCTCTTTAAGTTCACAAGGGCCCCCCTCTTGAGTTTATCAAGGTTCCTCGGATGGCATCCCTTCCTTCTGCTGTATCAACCACATCTCTCAGTTTGGTGTCATCAGCAAACTTGCTGGGGGCGCACTCAATCCCATTATCTACGTCACTGATAAAGATATTAACAAGTACCGGTCCCAAGAGGAACCCATGGTGGGGTCACCACTCACTGTCTCTGCCTGGACACTGAGCTGCTGACCACAACCTTCTGGCTGCAACCTTCCAACCTTATCCACTGAACCGTCCAGCATTCAATTCTATCTCTCTTCAATTTAGAGATAAGGATGTGGTGGGGGACCATGTCAACGGCCTTGCAGAAGTCGAGGTAGATGACATCAGATATCTTCAATTTGTCCACCACTGCCATCACTCCTTCATAGAAGGCTATCAGATTGGTTAGGCACAATATTCCCTTGGGGAAGCCATGCTGGCTGTCTCAGAACACCCACTCGTCCCCCTTGTGTTCCTTAATGTGTCTTCCAGGAGGATCTGTTCCATGATCTTCCCAAGCAGAGGTGAGGCTTACCAGCCTGTAGTTCCTTGAGTCTTCCTTCCTCCCTTTCCCGTAAATGGGAATGATGTTTCCCTTTTTCCAGTCCCTGGGGGCTTTGCATGATAGCCACAACTTTTCAGATACTATGGAGAGTGGCTCAGCAACAATATCAGCAGCTCCCTTAAGACCATGGGATGCATGCCTTCTGGTCCCATGGATTTGTACACATTCAGTCCGTCTGAAATGGTCTCAGATTTGCTCAGTCCTTACAGTGAGAGAGATTTTGCTCCCCCCAGTTCCCAGCTCTATGTGAGAATTCTGGCAGCTAGTGAAGACTGAGGCAAAGAACTCAAAGTATCTCAGCCTTCTCCATACCTGTTGTAGCCCATTCTCCTTTATCTTTTAGTAGAGGAGTTATGCTCTCTTTGACCTGCATGTTCTGACCTATGTACCTGTAGAATCTCTTCTTCTTGTTTCTAACATCCCTTGCCAAGTTCAGTCCTGTCTGTGCCTCTGGTTGGTCTGAACCAACTTGAACCAGAAAGTTTTATTGTCAGTGCACACCAGGAGTCTCCTGGATCACTTACAGCTCATCATGTTGTAACAGAGGCGTTCCACATTGAGAACTGCATCTGCCTTAGGATCATGTTCTTGAGGTGTTCAAATATAGCCAGAAGATGCAGATCTGGGCTATTCCCTTTTGGGCATGACCTTTTCCAATCGTGCAGGCATATCTCCAGCAAAGAGACTACAGTAGTCAGGTGCAATCATAGAAGAAACAAGAAATCACATACACAACTGAAAGTCAGGCAGGTCAGCACAGTGTGAAAGGCACAGGCACTTTGTTTTAATCCCTTGACTTTGATTAAGTTCTGAACAAACTATAAGCAAACATCCTGCTACGCGTTACCTGTAACTATGAACAAATAAGTGACATATATGGTCTGCAGGCTTGGCTAACAGCTTTGGATCTGAAATCCAAAACAAAAAATGGAGACCCTGCATGACAAGGAAAAACCACTTCTACCATTAAGTTAGCACTTACTGGTACTTAGCAGTGCCTGGTGTGCTCACACACCTCTTTTTGGAGACCCCCTCTTCTGAGTTTGTGCACTTCAGAGAGGGCTATGGCTTTGACAGGTGCCTCTTTACAGCAAGAATAAAGCAGTCTCCAGGAGACAGGCTTTAGCTACGCTTCCATGAACTCTGAATTCCTTTAAAAATTAGCCAGGAAATAATGGACTTTGATAGAGTGAATAAAGTACTGCGGGAGGAAGGAGACATGGACTCTGTTCTTCCTGCCTCAGGCAACTGCACACCTATCAGAGCCACTGGCCTAGGCCTGACACTGGCAATTGCTATGACTTCTGCTGAAGCAAAGCAAGGCCACCACAGAACATGCTAGTCTGATCCAGCTGAGAGCAGAAAACAGGGACCAGGACTGTAACCTAGCAGCTCAGGAAGGTGCCAGAGCCTTGGTTCTGATTTCAGGCCTGGCCATTTCTGCATCCTGTGTAACAGCTTTGCAATGAAGAACACAGTACCACACCTAAACGTTGAGAAAAACTGGATTTGGTTGATCTTGTATTTTCAAATGTTCCATTAATCAGAACTAAATAACAACAGGATCAGAATTTATATACTCCTCACTTACATTTGCTGATGCAACGTTCTCCATGCCTATTTCTTCACCATAGTAAGTTATAGGAGTACCAGGGAGGGTTAACAGCAGCATGTTTATAACTTTGACATACTCATTCCCAAACCGAGATGAAATCCGATCAGTGTTCGGGCTTCCGACCTCAAGAAAACATCATTCCATTAAAAAGACATAAAATTCTATGCATACGTGAAACTGGTCAGAGACAAAAACCATCTGGAGTGAACTTCTGTTCACAGGCACCGAAATAAAGGAAAAAATTATTTACATTCACATTATCTCCACCAAGCTAAGAGAGCCTGTTCTTCCCTTGTCAAGAGACACACACCAAAATCACTGTCCAGTTGAGTAGCTCAGTAGGTATCAAGTGTATTGGCCAAACACATGCACATCCCAATTGCACAACTAGATTAGTAATTATCTCAAAAGAGATAAATGACAAGAGACCGTCTCATACTAAGAAAAGGGCTTTACAGTGGCCCCCAGCATTGACAGCTGCACTGTTATTTTCTTCCACTTTCACTTCTAGATCTACAAGGAGGATCTTTTTCTTTTTTTTTAAATGCCAGTGCACAATTTTGCCCAAATATTTTAGAACGTGGGTGGCAGATGTAAGGGGAGATGACAAATCAGCCTGAGACTTTGTTAATTCCCCCAGTTATGGCTCCCTTCTCACTGCCATGCATTGTTTTGTGGTGACTCTTATATGGGGTTGTGAGAAGCTGGCAGCCCTGCAAGAGAAATTCCCAAAGGTGAGCATACTGAAGCATGGGACTGAAACCAAAGAGATCTGTAGGAATGTAGGAAGGGATGTGAAACAAGTGGCTGCAACTTCATTTGGTCTGTATATGAGCTTGTTTTCTTTCTGAAAGCCACAACAGCCGAAAGCTTTTTCTAAATATTAACTTGGACATCTTGCCTCCTCTCACAGAGAGGATGCCTCAAGGGTACAAAATTGCATTCCTGAGGACCACACTCGATACCCAAACAGAACTGCTCCCACACTGCAATTGCAGAAATGATCAGAGGCTATAGTTTCTGTGTTTTGCGTGTGGCTCATCTCTTTCATATCCCAAATATAGTTCACAGCAAAAACCTGCACAGCTAATCCCACTGAAATCCACGTGTGTGGAGGTTCTATCACCTTATCACCAACAGGAAAGGGCCTTTCCCTTAACAGCAAGTCCAGAATTCTTACCACCCAGTTTGGCCATTTTCCTTCAGGCATGTTTTTCATCCACATGTTGACAGCTTCAGAAACACTGCTGCCAGATAGATTTTTCATGTTAATTAGATAGAAATTGAATGGGAAGTCTGCTTCTTGGACAAAAGTTGTTCCATAATACACCATTGTTCCTTCTATGTCTTCGTTTTCATCACTGTCAGAACCCATAAATCTGCAAAGAAGTAAACAAGGAGCCTTTTTTTTTTGTCTCATCCCTGATTTGTACAGAGCTGAAGAAAGCTAGGAACAGTATTCAACATACTTAGAAAATAATACAGGATTAAGAATTGCATCTGCCTCCCTCCTCCTCATAAAAAAAACCACAACATACGGAGATATTTGTAGTTTGTAAAGCAGATAAGGGGAGATACCTGGAAAGCTGTGGGGTTTTTTTGCATTATTTTTAAACTGCAGGAGTAACTGAGTACTGGCACAGGCTGCCCAGACGGGCTTGTAGTTTCCATCCTCAAAAGCCATTTAGGAATCATCCTGGGCAATTGGCTCTGGATGTCCTTCCTGCTTCAGTAGGGGTTGGAGCAAGTGGCCTCCAGAGGCACTTGACAGCCTCAGCTATGCTGTGGTGCTGATAATCTCTGATGATTTATCTGATCTGAACCATACTGTTAATACCGTGCGTGGGATCGGGCTCATGGGCTTTGATTACAATTGTGCCACCATGAGCAATCACACATTCTGCCTACTTGTTACAGGCACAGATACAATACAGCTACCAGAGCTTAACTTACTGCACCTTTCCTTTCCTGTGCACTTTGGGAAAGAGCATAGCCTACTATAGCACTCGAGGACAAAAACCTTACGTGGCATGTCGTGTTAGAAATTGAAAAAAGACCAAAAAACATTTTACTGCTATAAAGACGGAGACAAAAAGAGAGAAAGACATTCCCTAGCCACAGCAATGACTACCTGTATCGGCCAGGTTCAGTGCTGTATTGATCCATGGTTTCGCGGAAGCTACGGATGATGTCATGCATACCAACTTGCGTGGTTGTGTAGTCATGGTAGAGCTCGGAATAGGCTGTGATGCTCTCCTTAAAGACAAAGCCATGTTATTAGTCCAATATTTTAGAGTTCAAAATTCTCCAAATTCTTCCTGAGACAATCCACCAACCCAAGCAAAGTTTTAAAGTGACATAAGTTTAGCATACCAGTGCGTTGCTGTGGTAACAACATCGTATTTGTAGAACTGATAAGTTCTGAAATCACCAACACAGCAGATCAGCTATAATCATCAGACTCACTACTTCAACAAAAGCCCAAGTAACAGAATGCTTGCACGTGGCCTCTGGCCACACTTCACTCTAGTATATTGCCAACAGGAGGTGGGGTTTTGTTTGTTTTACTGCAAAGAAGTATGTGTCAGTGCCTGCAATGGGATCCCAAGTGAGCCAGAATGCTGAGCTCACCTCTTGTAATGGGCTCCCCCAAGACAACCAATGAAATGTTAGAATTCACAGGTCTGGTCTTTTTAGGAAAAAAAATTGAAAAGTCAAAACAGTTTAAACAAAACCAGAAGTAACTGTCTGCACAGAAATAGAGTGGGTGTATGGACAATTCCTACCCACAGCACTCCTGTTCAACCCTTCCCTGTACGCACTGCTTAAGCAACAAATCCAGGAACCACCTTCCAAGGAACACAACTGACTCAGCACTTCTAAAGCCATAATTAAAACCCCAAAGCGTAAAAAAAGTCTCTTGCACCCATGGAAAGTACAGGAGAAAAAGCCAAAATATACATTACAGGATTCTGAGATTTGTTCACTTGTGGCTCATCTCGTAGATGTGTGGCTTCTAGAAGAAACTTAACAGCGACAAAACTAAATCCATCGACTCCTTTGCCAAGCCAAAATTTGATAACATCCTAGGATAAAGAGAAGAGTTGAGAATTCCAAGTGAGCCCATCTCATTCAAAATGATACATACTTAAAGAGAAACTTAGTAGACACAAACGTATAACTTATTTTTGAATTTGTACCTCTAATTTTACTTGAAATGAAAGTGAATCCTGTCGAGTTAGAACCGTTATCTAAACAGGTGATGTCCTATCATTTCTTCTGGTATTAAAAAAAAAAAAATTGGTCTGCAACTTCTCTCATAATTCATAAGTCCAGGGCCAGAATGTGCCTAAGGGCCTTCCCATCTCTTCTATCAGAAGAGCTTGGATCAGGCTAAGCTCTATTGCTGGAGAACGCCATCTTGCTGCACACAGATAGAGCACACTGATTCAAATGTGATGTATGCTGTTCTGCACAGACCTCATGCCACCAATTTTCATTTTATACAATAGAGCTCTTAGAATATTTGTTCCCTTTTACTTGACAGATGGGGATTTTTCCATTTTATTTTCAGGCTTATTTGTTGATTTGCAGGAACACCAAAATTATTATCCAAGTTAACTGCTATAGATTTATAATTTCACTACTAAATGTAGAGGTTAGTCACTATTAAAGAAACTATTTCTACTTCAGTAGTTATTATATTATCACAGTTCTAATTACTCTATTTTTCACAAACAGCTCTGAAGTTCAATCTCTCTTGAAGAGTTTGTGTAAGTGTTCCTTAAGTACAGAAACTGTTATCTCACCTCAATACAAAAACATCCGTTTGTTTAAAAATGTATGAAATGCACTTGCCAGAACAGAACTACTTCTCACTCAAGCTTACAGATTTTTGTTTGGCAAATACCAGGTACTGACTTTGTACTGAGAATGATTACTTTTACTTAAGACAGAAAGCCACAGCCCCTGGTTGCTAAAAGGTTTACTGCTCCCCCATGCCCAGGAACTAAACCAAAAGCAATAGTGTTCTTCAGAGAAGCTGAAGCTTCCTCCTCACTCACACAGTCCTAACATGAAACAGGATTCTGAATTTAATTATTAAAGTATTACTTTATAACACGCCAAAGCAATTGATTGTACTCATAAGCATTTACCTAAAGTGAGTATTATCAGACTAAACTTACTAGTCTTCACTTAATTTCTTCTCAAAGGAATGCAGCACCTATTTGTTACTTCAGCTTCAGTAGCATATCAGTTAAAAAAAAAAAAAATTGCCATGGCCATTGAAAAGCACAGGCAATAGAAGGAAAAGCAAAGAGTGGAAAGATGTGGTGCTAAGGGAAGCATCAAGACAGAGAAGTTACTGGTGGAGTTGGTCAAGAATCAATCTTGAGAGCAGTCTCATTTCATGCTTCAATTAATGAACACAACCAAGCAAGTTTTGTTTTGCTCCTTCTCATGCTTGCAGCACCCACAGTGAGGAGAAACAGAGACAGCCAAAGAGATGATTGCACTAGAATTGGGCAGGCAGGAAAACTACCACAAAAAGACACCAAAATTCAGTATCACAGCAGAAAAAAAGCAAGGATTACATCAAAGCTGTCCCACCACCTGGCAGGGAATAACAAAGGTAAGGAAAAAAAAAAAAAAGGAAAAACACAGTTGCCATATTCCCCAGGTGCAGGCCTGCTTCCAACATTTTAGCAAATTGAGACTCATCTACTGGGAGACGTTGCAGACAAGCATAAGGTTTCATCAGAACACAGCTCTTCCTTGGTGCAACACTCTTGGTTGTACATCTGTGTCTCTCCCCACATAAAGCCACCAGAGATGCAGACAGACTGAAACTCACAAATTCCTCCTTATCCACGAGCCCCAGCATTCCTTGCATTTCACATCAGCATTGCCTCACCGCCATGAAAATGCAAACACCTCTGCTGAAACAAGGTGTTGCCCCCTGGCTAATAAACAGCTCCTTGGATCAACAGAGATTAAAGCTTCTCTCAGCTTGGGTGATTCAGCTGTACTCCAGCACCAGTGACGCTTGGCTGTCCATGTCAATCCTTTCATCAGATGCTGTCCTCCATGTTGGAAGCATCAGAAGATGAAACTTGAACATTGCTTACGAACTCAATGTTTGTCTACGCACTGTTCTGTTTCAATCATTTTAGTGTACTCTAATCTTCAAATTACTTTCAATTGAACTGTAAATTTGTGCTATTGGTGCAGCAGCAAATCACACTTACGTGGATTTCTTGTTGGACGGCAAGGTTGCGGAAATTTAAGTCCGGCTGCTCTTTCCCAAACTGATGAAAATAACACTGCTTCCTCACATCATCATACTGCCAGCTGGAATTCCCATAGACACTCACCTGTTCAAATAAGGGGAAGAAAAATCATCAGAACTCTCAATTGAGCATTTAGTCACATGTATAATTTAAAATGTGATGCATTACAAGCGTATAACAAGGCACAAAATGCCTCATCAATGCAACAAATAGGGTTGATTTTAATGTTTTGTTTCTCATTTCCTTCTCCTGTTAGCTGTTCCTTCTTTTTCAGTCACGCTTTCGCCACACGTATTTCTCATGTTCAATACTGCTTCATTCTTCTAAGTAGACTTTTGCTGGCTATTACCACAAATAGAGAGGGAAACATAGGTAGGACCATTTGTTTTAGGATTAGGACCTCAGCTGCTCCTCACACACCTCGCCCTGCAGACCTTCACCATCTTCACAGCCCTCCCTCAGACGCTCTCTAACAGCTTTATGTCCTCCTTATGTTGTGGCACTCAGCCCCTGCTCTCAGTGCTGGAGGCCATGGCCCCGCATCCACAGGACAATTGTGTTTCAGGTGCTTACCTGGCAACCTGCAATCCAGTGGGTGATTTATGAGTGTCCCTGCCCACACTCACCCAGTTGTTGGGAGCAGTGATGGCCGCCCCTGCCTGCATGCAGTCCTGCCAGATGTAGTAATCTGTGTACTTCCCCGTGCGATTGCGACTGAGCTGGAACCAATGGTGCTTGTCACTGGTGTGGTTTGGTATCAAATCCATTATTACCTTTAATCCTAAAACACACACATTTGTTAATCAAGCCTTTTATGGTAAGGATCACGTTATTTATTTATTTATAAAATGAAATCCTGAACATTTTGGCACTGGCAAAGCTAATTCTCTTCCATTCAGCCCAACAGCCACAAGGGCTGGGCAAGGATTTGGTCTAAGGCACACGCGCCACCAACCAAGGACACAACTGCAAGAAGGAAATGCATGCTCCCTCTCAATCTTGTAATTCTATCTCTGCTTTCTTCTGAAAACTACAAGGCACACCTGTATCATAACAGCAAACATCCTTTTAACAGAGCTATTTTGATCACAGCTTACCTCGATCGTGTATGGATGCAAGAAGATCCTCAAAATCACTCATTGATCCAAACATGGGATCAATATCGTAGAAGTCTTCAGCTCCATAGCCAGACTCTTTTAAGGGGGACTTGTAGAAAGATGTGATCCAGATGGTTTTTATATTTAAATGCGTGATATGGTCCAGCTTTTCTTGGATACCTATTGAAAGGAAAAGGGCGTCATCTGATTACAAACGACAAATAGGTTTTGTTAAATTAAGTTCGCTGCGGGCTCTCAAGGATGGAACAAAGATCTCCTTGCTATATAACCACTCCCAGTTTTCACCAATCTCAGGTAGCATGGCAACCTTGTAATTTCTTCAGGAACAGCAGGAGACCACAGAATGGAAACCATTCTAAGCCACTTCTATAGGGAAAAAGGAAAATAATAATCATTTAAAAAAAAAAAACCAGACCGAAGGCCACTTCTAATCCACAGTATTAAAATACTCATAATTTCATGCAATGTATTTAACATTCACTTCTGAAAACAAACACCTGTACTTTATTGAAATACAACCACATCATTACTTTCTGGTTTCAAAGTCAATCAATCCTTCGATCACCCAAAGGGAAGTTTTAATGCATCCCAGTTTTTCCTTCTGCTGGGAAGTCTCCTACACTTTGCTACAGCTAGTGCTTTTGGTCTAGAAATTCTTCAGATGCTATGGGGCTAAGACATTCATTTTAGAAGCACAGCTGATACCTGAGCAGTATCAGGTACGCTTTCCTAATAGGATCTCAGAAACACCAAGACCATAAAGAAAAGAAGGAACACTTTGCCCCATTCTGACTTTGTCAGTTTGATTTTTCTGACTTCTCAGGGGGATGCAGCCAAACCAGTGTGACAAAGTGCCCAGCACCCATCCTCCCATCTGACCATAGTTTTGCAGAGATGTTTTCCCATAAAAGCAGTTCTGTTCCTGTTTGCTCTCAGCTCCACTGCCAAAAGCTTGGTCTAACTCCAGGCACAGGATAACTTGAGCAAGAAGCTTCTGATGATATCTAATAATTGGCAGCGTGGCTCACCAGCCAGTGTTTATCAGGACAGCTTTCGTGCCCCACTCTCAAATCCCCATCTTTTTCTGCTTAACTATAAGGTGACTTTTAAAATTATTTTTATGCACATACCTCACGCACAGACAACAGCTGCCCTGCGTAGTTACGTACCTTTCAGATCACCGTTCCCATCCATGTTGCTGTCCTTATAAGAACGGGGGTAGACCTGGTAGATAGGACCATCTTGCCACCAATGGAGGCACTTTGGGGACAGAGCAATGATGGCAATCGTGGCAGACACGAGCAGGACGGCAGCAGCGATGATGAGCCAGAAGAGAATCTCCCTGGTGACCCTGTACCGGGCTTGGCTGGAGAACTTCAGCAGGACCTCCTTTGGCATCCCCGCATAGGGCTGCAGGGCTGGCTCTGCCACAGCTGCTGGGCTCACGTCAACAGCACACGTTTTTGGTATTTCATCTTGGCTGCTGGTGTTGGTCTCCCTGTCATCAAAAGCCTCATTTTGAACAAACCCGTTGTTCTCCACACCTCCTTTCTCACTCAGCTCCATCGGTAAGCTCTTCGCCTCCTCGTCGACCATTTCACTTCGTGCCTCTCCTCCTAGGGACGCTCACTACAGCGAGCCAGCATACCTTTGTTCCGTGGAATGAGAAGCAGCACAATTAGCGTCTGGCTTTATAAACAACCCTGACCAACTGGTCGAAGTTCACAAGAGACAGAAAGGGCAAAGTGCTCCGGCTCTTCTGCATAATAGGCATCTTCAGTGAGATAACACTGCAAGAAAGCAGTGTTTCACAGTGGCAGGCCTGTTTCTGGGGCTAACTGCAAAGTTACGTTTACTGCTGCTCTCTTCAACATCATAAATTTCTCTTCCATAATGTGCAGCTTCGCAAACTGATCCTGGTTTCTTTCCCCTCATGCAATCTCAGCATTAATGAATAATGCAAAGACTGACTGAGAACAAGTTGTTGGCAGCTTCAACAGCACAAACTCAATAGGAAAAATAGATCCAACGCCTGCTGTGCTTGGTCTCTCACTGCCCACGGTAAGCACCTCAGCAGCAACAGCATTGATAAGACACACACTTCAATGAGCAGCACCTTACAGGTTGCTGCACCCAGAGCTCTCCCAGTCCAGGCACAATCCAGCACTGCACAGGCACAAGTGGCACCCCTGTACAGTACAGCGTAGCCACATCACTTAGAATCAGTGCATCATAAGGTTGGAAAAGATACCTAAGATCTCCTATCATCAGTATTTCCCCACTAAATCACATCCCCTACTATCACACCTACGTGTTTCTTGAACACCTCCAGGGATGGTGACTCTACCACCTCCCTGGGCATCCTGCGCCAGTCCTGACCACTCTGCCTGAGAAGTTTCTCCTAATATCCAATCCAAACCTCCCCTGGAGCAACTTGAGGATGCTCCCTCTCGTCCCATTGCCTTTCCACCTAAGGAGCTGCTGGGTGAGTTGTGGTCACGTGCCGTTGCCTAGGATGCAGATTCCTTTTCAACTTACTGGTATCTAATGCTAATTAAAGGAACTCACCAACTCACCCCCTGCTGCTTGTTCCCACTTCGCTTTGTCCCTGCCTTATGGCAGGTAAGCTATCATATCAGGTGGCTGAGGAGCAAACCACACTGGGGAATGGATTTAGCCCAATACAAAAACCGTTTTGCTCATTAAAGATCTCCATTCCTAAGCTGCTCAGTCACCACAGGATCGCATGGGTTGCTCCTCCCAGCTCAGCGCAGTGGGACAGGGACAGGCTGTGGGCAGCGTGCATGGCACAGTATTTAGCCAAGCAGCTTCTCAGTCAACTCACACACGTGATGCCTCACATTCATTTCAGCATGTTTCTGTCCACCCCTGTACAGCAAATCCTCTTATTTCCATTTTGTGGAGTACAAAAAGCAAGGCACGTGGCAGTTAGGTCTCAAATCAACAGATCTGCGTGCGTGCTCCAGCAATCGAACACAGGAAGAGAATTCAAGTTCTCTTAATGGCTTACTCAAAGTCAAAGATCAGATATCCTCAGTTCACCCAAGTGGTGCAACTACCACCCAAAGCGCAGCTGAAATTCAGATTTAAAGTTTCTCAGCCATCTCTCTCAAAGCCAGTAAAAAATACAATGTTGATAATTGCCTGCAAGATGCGTGTCTGATCTGAAGATACAGGGTGTTACCTTCAGCATGCATTCTTCTTACAGCTGATAAAGGCCAACTCAGCAAGTCAGAAGTAATTGGAAGTCATCACTGCATTCTGACTTGCAGTTTTCTTCTCTTAATTCAAACCTTTTTCAGGTGCACAACTGCAAGCGTTCATTCCATAAACCCTGCCACTTGTGAACTCTTTCTTCAAAATAGCATCTGTTGTCCTAATGCAATTCCTAAATCATACTAAATGTTTCCTAATGCCTTAAGTAGGACAGACTGCATCTTAATTGCCAAGTGTGCCCTGAAAACAGGATTATTCTGCTGGAGGAGATGAAACCATGCACAAGCCCTAGGCTGTCTACAGATGGAACTTGTGTGGACTACTTCAAGCTCCCCATGGTTGCTGGGCACATAAAAAAAAAAAAAAAAGAAATGGGGGGAGTATTTTAAGATTAATATAGAAGATAAACTGTGCTGGGAACAAGCAGCTGTCTTGGTGAACATCTCAGCTCTCTCCACACCTTTGCTTTTTGCAACCAAATAGTTGACATAAGCAGCTGTACTGCTTTGTAGCACAACTGCTATATATTAACCATGCATAAAACCACACAGGTGTTTATAAGCCTATTTTTCCCCCTCTTCACCTTGAATTGCTCATCATAAAACTGTTTGATAAAGGGAGAATGTAAATTGCACCTTGGGAGAGAGATCACCAGCTATCTCCACTGTGGTTTAACTTTTTAAAATGTACTTTATGTACACAGCATTATACTTCTGGCTTGCTCTCAAGCAGTTCTGAAAGCAGTTCCTCCCTGAGAGATTTCAGAGTTGAGCAGCAGCAAGCAGCCAATGCAACCGTGCTCACAGAACCCATTGAAAAGCATTAAAGAGTACAGAAAACCCTTCATACTCTGTTTACCTCAGCGTTAGATAAGGAAACAAAACCAACCCGCATGTGGGCAGTAATAGCTGCTATCTCCACACAGATTGCCATGGTTATTTCTATAAGATGGAGGGGTTAATTTCCACAAGTATTCCTTATATGTAATTATTTTGATGCATGGGCTGACTAAGGAGTCTGCAGTTTGATGCTGTACAAATGCCAAGTAGCTTGCTGGTTACCCAATACCATACATATTGATCGTACAAAGAGGTGATTAAGCACCCTAATGTGCTAAGTGTAGGAAGATATTTATTTTTAAAGAGTTCTCTTGCTTAATGCTTTTTCATTAAACGTTTTGTCACTTCTAAAACTGGTCTGACATAATGCACTTTGCTTCTAAATATAGCCTTATTATTTACAGAACGCAGCCAACCTCACACCTCACACCCATGCAAAAAGGCAAACACTACAGCCGACAACATTTCCTCAGCAGCTCTCACAAGACCAATGAATCATCCGACCTTTAAAGCTGCCTCTCACCCGGCATTAAGAAAATCTTCCCTTGACAAAGAGAGCAGACATCAGGAGCGACGCTCCCCACAAACAAATCTCTGACACGGCATCCTTCACCCAGGGGTTCCCTGGCCACACGTGAGCCTTCTGCCATCACTATGCAGCCCAAAGTCCTGGAGAACAGAACAACCTAATTGCACAGGACACCATGCCATGGTTTGGTGGTCTTTTTTTTTTTTTTAATGCTCTTAGTCTACTAATGGACTACACGATTAAAGGTTAATAGCATTAGAATTGTTGTAATTGCCTTCAGCCTGGCCCACACGATGCTGTTGAGCTTTCTGAGAGGGAGGCACCCAGCGCCTGCCCTACGGGTGATCAGCCTGGCTGCCTTCTCCCACTACTTCTAATGAGAACAATCACCCTCAAATCCTGGCTCATGGCACTGCAGCATGCACAGCCAACTCTTTTTGGGGCCCTTCCCCTACCGAGGGTCAAACTACTGTCAAACACCCATAGAAAATCTTATTTTAAGGTGAACTCCAGTTCAATGCCTCTCCAGTTGGCAACTCACCCATTTCTGCATTCTTCACCACCTTTCACATCTGTTCTAGAGGATGTCAACTGTCAAGGAGTTTCAGAAGTTCCTGCTGACCCCACAGTGTTGGCCCTGAGTGACCTCAGCTATCCTCACACAGCAGGGGCTGTGCTGCTTCTCAGTGCTGCCACTTCCCCACGTGAAGGTGATGTGGTGATAGAACAAGGGGAAATGGCTTCAACTCTAAGAGGGCACATTGAGATTGGTTATAAGGAGAAAGTCTTTTACAGTGAGGGTGGTGAGGCACTGGAACAGGTTGCTCAGAGATGTTTGACACCCCGTCCCTGGAGACTTCAAGGAAAAGCTGGATCCAGGCCTGGGTAGTTGTGGTGTCCCTGTTCATTGCAGGGGGCTGGGACTAGATGGCTTTTAAAGGTCCCTTCCACCTCTAATGATTCTATGATTAGAAGTTTTATTTACTAGAGATGCTGAATTTCCACAAAGCCTTCCTTCTGTCCCTTTGGTCAATGTCTCATCAGCTAGCTGATGTATGCTTCATTAAGTAATCAACACAAGAAAGAATCTAAATATATATATACACACACACACACACACACACACACACACACACACACACACACATATATATATAAAATGAAAAAAATATGCATGAAAAAGGAGGAGCTGTTGAAGCCCTTCCCTTCTTTCTCAGATGTCAGAAGAGCACTCACCCAGCAGAGCCCTTTCTGGTGTTAATGTACAATGTTGTCTTTCTGTTCAGCTCAGAGCAGCACTTGAAATATCATATCTACCCCTAAGAAGAACTGCTGCAATTACTTACACAGTTGGATACGTATTTTTTTTCCCCACAAAAAGTTGAGCAGGAAGTTAAATAAGTCTCATCTCTTCAGCAACAGTATGGTATGTGCTGAATGCTTTTAAGATAAGGATGAGTGGATGAATCTAAAGATGAATCTGAAGTATGTCCCCACCCTAAAATTTGTTACACAGCATTATGAAAAAGGTGTTCATGACCAGGAGACTGAAAAGCCGTGGTAAAACACCAGGCTTCTCACCCAGCTCGCACACTGTTTGCTCTAGCAGAATATTTCCTACAACTGCGTCTTGCCAAAATAAAAACAGATTTCGGAGCACTAGAAAAAGTATTTTGTTTTTATTATGGTGTTCACATTCCTTGCTCTCAGAGCTGAAGCAATATAGCCTCAAACGCACCGGAAAAATTTATTTGCTCTACATGCCCAGGCCAAAATCTTTACTGCACCATTAAGTTTAGATGTGTACGCGAACTGAAGATGACCACTAGATAAGGGACAAAAAATAAACTCGGAGAGCGTTCTCCAGTTACCCTAACAACAACAAATCAAATCTTGTACATTTGCCCATAACAAAATGATTATTCACAGAACTAATAAAAGCAAGCCCCATTCAGTCCTTTTCTTACATAATTTGGCATAGAATTTATTTTAACCAACACTTATTTTTGAAAGTTTCTCTCAACTACCCAACAGAATCCCAACATTGCCTGAAAATGCCACAGAAGTCAGTATTTATATTTACAGATGAGACGGACTTCCAAGAACTCGAGGAGGGCACTTACAAACGTGATTGTTTCCAGCTTTGTAAAGGTCAAAAGCAGGATCCTTGCAATCCCAAAAATTACTACAATGTAGCCTCAACTTCTCTATAACTCACCTTAAATTCCAGAGGTCTGAGAGAACAGAAAATCAGGCCATCAGGACTTGGCACAATAGGTGAGAAAACACCACCACATTTCAATTAGACACAGAAAGCATTCAGTCTGCATTCTCTTGCTACACTGTGGTTGTCCTCCTTTATCAGGAAGTTACTTTCACAGAAAGGTTATCAAATTGATGGAGAAGGGCTCTTCCTCTAGAAAACTATTCTCATGACTTGAGGATAAGGAAAAAGCGAGTATTCAACAGTGCCGAACAAAGCTCTCAGTAATACAAACTAGACTTTAAACCCAGGCATCCCTGCAGAGAAGAGATTTACAGAAAAATAAAGTATCTAAGTGAACATCACCTTTCAGATGTGAAGAGAGAAGCGCAGCAGCACAGATTATAAATGTAAACGAAGCCCATGCGGGACATGAGAGATGACCACACACAAACAACTGAACACAAAAGGACTTGGTCACGCTACAACGTGGAAGTTACCTATCTTTTGGTTGACAGCAAAGCAGCCACAGGGTGGGGGGAATGTAAGTCAGTACAAGCAAAGCAAAGCTAAATCAGACCTACACATCAACAGCCAACACAAAAGCACAGCAAGATTAAACTGTCAAATGGACAGAAGTGTTATAAAAGACGCTTAAGATCTCACGCACAGTTTCAAGTGCATGAGCTAGCTCCATACTTACGTGCAACCTTTCAGTGACCCGCTCACTTCGGTGTGATCTTGCCAAAGTGCATTCATCTCTGGGAGCACCCCGTGCAGTTGTTCACTTGCACCAATTGCACTCTCTCCAAACTTTCTTTTTAACCTTTCAATTTAGAGCCGAAAAGCAACATGTCTGCAGTAGACAATCCTTAAATCTAAAATTTTCCTGTTTACACCAACAAAACTTGGATTTGTTGACAGATCAGAAAGCTGCTTGGCAGTTTCTTTTGCATGAACCTCAGGAATAACTTGGGTTGCTTTTGCTTTAGCTTTTGTTTGCAGCACACTGATACATTTACTCAAAGCACAATTTTCTAGAACCAAACAAAGTGAAAACTGGGAATATCTTTACTCGGTTCCTTCAAATTTCCTCATCCTTTACACCAACTTCTGATGTGCAGAATCGCACTGCATCTGAGCAGTTTCATGGCTCATGGTTACATTTGCCATGGAACAAATTAAATATACATACAAACACACAGATTTCTATATATTGGGGTAGAAAATATCTATTAATATTCAACAGAATTACAAGGCCTTACAGAAGAAAGAAAGAAGCCTTGTAAAGCTAGGTTCTTAGCCTGTGATGTGTTCAAAAATTGATATCTATTTCACATGTACACTTTTTTTTTTTTTTTAACTCCATCTAAATAACAGCATAATTCACACAGGCAGCATAAGCAGCACAGATGTTTTGGTCAAGTCCCACGACAGTTTGCACACAGGCTTGGAAAAAACATATGAAGATTCATTCGTTTGAGTTTGTACTCAATCTCTCGTAAAAACCTGCTGAGGTCAAGATTACAACACTTGCATTTGCATTTATTTCTTTATTCCCTATTCCATTTAACACGTTAATGATAATCAGTTAAGTTTTTATTTTGCTCAAGATGATCAGACAGCAGATTTCAGAAGTGACACAGACTGTTTTGTCTGCAGTACAGGAGTATTCACAGAAATGGAGATGCAAGATGAATTTGACACATCGGAATGACCTGCGGTGGAAGTGACACTTCCTACTCTCAGCATTACACACAATCA